TTGCGCACACAGTCAGCCTTCGAACATCACGGGTCCGTTTTCTCTGCCTCTTTCCTGAACTAACACGGTCTGGCTGCTCTGAACCTGCCACGCAACTGACTACACGGGATTCCCAGATGCCTGTTGTCTTTCTCTCCTTTTGGTAGAATACATCCTCCTGTAGCTCCCTGAAAAGATCTCTATTCTACTTTTACTTGACTAGCTTCTGGCTGAGTATGAAACTCGACTGACACAGTCTTCAGCCTTCCAGCGTTGCCGTTAGGAAATTTTGTAGCATTGTTATTCCCAATCCTTGAGTGCCCCTGTTGTTTTTTCCCCCCTTTCCAGGGGATTTTACAATTTTCCCTTTATCCTTGGTATTGTGAAATATCACCATGAATATTAAATCGGTGTTTTTTAATTCCTTGCACTGGATACTCAAAGGGCATTTCAAGACTCATCCTTTACTTCAGGACAGTTCTCTTTCTTTTTTCTATTTAAGTGAATTTCTTTTACCAACTTCTTCTTTCTCTCTTTTTTCTAATCCTCACCTGAGGATGTGTTTATTGATTTGAGAGAGAGAGAAACATCAGTTGCCTCCCATACTCACCCCAACCAGGGATCGAACCTGCAGTCTAGGTATGTGTCCTGACCAGGGATCGAACCTGCAATGTTTTGTTGTACAGATGATGCTCCAACTAATTGAGCCACCCACCCAGGGCTCTTCTCTCTCTTTCTTGACTTCCTGTTATCCAATATTGAGTCTCTAGTTTATCTTTTTGCTTATTCCTCTTTTTGTCTTTCTGTTCTTTAAATATTCTGCTTCCTTTATTATATATTTCCTCCTGTTAATTTATTCTCAGGAATGTGTGGAAGCATTTGGCAGTTCATATTTAAGAGTGAGGTACCGGCAGCCCCTGTGTGTTCTGGAGACTGGTAGGTTTGATCTGGTGGCCAGCTGGGTTTTTTCACTGGGGAACCCCCTCCCCAAACCAGTTTCTATAGGTCTCTATTTTTACTCATTATCCCGAAGCATGGCAGGGCAGGGGAGTTGAGGGTCACCATTCAGGAGGTCAACTTCAGCTCACCTTCCCATCCCTCCTGGGGTGAGGAACATAGAGACTCTCAGCCCCCTTCTCATTTCCCACAATGCCTCTCATTCCTGAACTTGGGGTTCTCTGGGCCAGCCCCACTTGCTTCTATTATAACTTCCATAAGACCACAGCTGACCTATTATAACTTCCATAAGACCAGTTGCTGCTGCCCAGCTTTTTGCGGGGACCTTGGCATCCCCCTCCGGTGTCATTTCCTGTCCCCAAACGCAGGCCAAGTCCCCAACACCAGGAGACCACAGCAATGATTTCAGCCACAGGTTCCTGTCTTTGACCGTATGGAACTGTGTGTGTCTTGTTAAGTTTTCTTCATCTGTGGGAAGTTTAGGGAATTTCCAGAAGATCACTGTTAAACTGAAGCTGGGCAGTGGTGAATCCCATGAAGGGACGGAAGAAAAAAGGCTTAAACCCCAGCCAAAGACCTTTGTGGCGAGCATTTTTACCACATGGGTCTGTAGCTTCCGTTCCTCGCCTGCCGCAGCCGGGTCAGAGCGGCTTTGTGCGCCCCGCCCTCTCCTGTCCTCCTAGGCCCGGTGCCTTGTCAGCTGATTTTCTGGACACCGCTGTCCACCCTCTGCAGCTGAAACACCCTCCTGGCAGCACTGCCTCTGCCAACACTAAGCGAATGGACTTCATTAGCACAAATGAGGATTTTGATCTTTAATTAAGTGCTCTAGCTATAAGGCAAAAGGAATGCCGAGCCTGTTTCTTTTCCTCTTTTAAGTATAATTAAGGATTTAAAAATTACCAGGGGCCCTTCTGGACATATACCACTAAGAATCAAAAGCAAGGCCTCGAAGAAACACTTGCACAGCTGTGTTCATAGTGGCATCGTTCACAACTGCCCAGAGGGGGAGCAGCCCAAGTGTCTGTGGATAAACAGACTGCGGTATCTCCACGCAATGGCGTACGACTGTAGGATATGTAAAAAGGAAGGGCACTCTGCCCCAGGCCGCCACCACACGGGGGAACCCTGCGGCCATCACGCTCGGTGAAATCAGCCAGTCCCAGAGAGAAAAATGCTGTGCCGTTCCACCTACGTGGGGGACCTAGAGGAGTCCGAGTCCTGGAAGCGGAAAGTGGGATGGCGGTGCCGGGGGTGCCGGGGAGGGGAAGTGAGGGGTTGGTTCATGGTTGCAGAGTTTCAGTTTTGCAGGAAGAAGAGAGTTCTGGAGTTTGTTTGTGCAACAGTGTGAATGCACTTAACACTGCTGCACCGTACACTTACATGTGGTTAAGATGGCAAATGTTGTTATTTATATTTCATCACAGTTTTGTTTTGTTTTTTTTAAAGATACTGGGTGCCCTGTTTGGGTTGCTCAATTGGTTAGAGTGTCAACTTGGTACGCCAACGTTGTGGGTTCGATTCCCAGTCAGGGCACATGCAAGAATCAACCAATGATGCATAAATAAGTGGAACAGCAAATTGATGTTTCTCTCGCTTTCACCCCCTTTCTCTCTCTTTCTCTCAAAAAAATAAAAATTAAAAATAAATAGTTTTTAAAAGTCACCGAGGGCTGGTGACCTTTAAAGGAACTTCCCAGAAACTGCTGGCCTCAAAGTTCTTTTTTTGACTACGGAATCCCCAGCTCTTAGGTTCCATTCTGATAGGCCAGTTCCCTACTCTGTAGTGAACGAACCAACCGAAAAGGCAGAGTTGGGGGGAAGCAAGGAGATGAGGGGGTAAGGTGGAGGATTAAGAAACAGAAAAGTGGTCCAATCTCTGAAGCCAGGACATCGCCCCACAAAGAGAGGGGACCATTTTCCATTTATAACCTGCTTGGTTCATTGGCACACAAGCCCTTGGTGTTACAGTTGAGGAAACTGAGGCCCAAACGGGGGAGGGGCAGGCACAGAGGGTTGGTCGCACAGCTGCCTGGTAGCAGAGCTTGAAGGGCAGCCCCCCCCCCCCACCCCCGGCTCTGTGTTGTTACTTACCGCCCCTCCCCCACCGCCCTCCAAGAAATGGGAACTGTGAACTTTAGCCACCAGGTGATGAGAAGCAGGGCTGCCCGCTTCGGTATTATTGCCTCCCAGACAAGGAGAGCAAGAACGAGGTGACGGCCTAGACGGAGCCCGAGTCAGCCTGGGACAGCCGTGCGCGCAGGCGGAGCTCCCGCTCCAGGGCCTTCTGCATCCGGGATCCTCCCGAGCACCTGGAGCCCAACCGCGGGAACTCCTGCTCCGAGGTCAGAGATGCAGCCGGTTCCTCTCCAGGGGTTATCAGAGAGGCCAGCTGTTGGAATGTCACTCCTCACAGCTGTCCCATGTGGGAAGGGATAGTTCAGGGCTATTGACAACTAGGGGCATTCCTGAAGCCCTGAAGTCTTGGCTTCTAAACTCTGGGCATTCATCTTCCCGCTGCGGTTTTCATTGTGCCTTGCCTTCTGCTTGCACATGTGTTCAATATATTCTTATATCACCTTACCTTTCAATCTCATTTTTATTATACTTTATTACATGCCTTATGTACTATATAACTTAGTATTACACAGGGTGGGGCAAAAGTGGGCTTAGCGTTTGAGTACAGAGTTTATTCTTGTGTTATTATTTATTTATTGTTGTATTATTTTCCATACAAATAACTGTAAACCTACTTTTGCCCCACCCTGTGTTAAATGATATCCTATTATGTATTAAAAGGAAACTTGATACCATGCCCATATATGGAAAACCAGATTCCCTTGCCATAAATAGAAGGCAACTATAAAAAGAAATACAATGACAACAAGACAGTTTTAAATTCTTGCTAGATTCCCCTGCCTGCTGAAGGCTTTGAACCTGAGCCTGCCCTTCGTTGAAAAGGAAGCAATCAAAGCCCTGGCTACACGGCGGGGGGGGGGGGCCTGCGAACCAGACAATCGAGGTTCGATTCCCAGTCAGGGCACATGCCTGGGTTGCAGGCCAGTTCCCAGCAGGGGACGCATGAAAGGCAACCATACATTGATATTTCTCTCCCTCTCTCCTTCGCTTCCCCTCTAAAGATAAATAAATTTAAAAAAAAAAAGAAAGGAAACAATCAGCAAAGGTTAGTGAGGAATCCCGCTTCAGAGGGGATCCGGATTAAACATCCTCTCACTGTTCCCTGGTGTCGGGCGAATCAGCAGGTCTCATGCCTTAGAAAACACTCTGCTTTGAAGTACCACAGGATGGGTCTCAGCATGGTTTGAGGATAGTGAATAATTCCATAAGACACAATCCTCACCCCAGGGTGCTACCTGTGAAAGGAAGACAAAAAGAACTATGAGTGGGTCGTGGACCGTGGGTCGCGGACCGTGGACAAACCCTGACGCGCGGTGACACTGCGATTGATGGGTGAACGGGGGTCTGGGCAGAGCTGGTCTGCGCAGGGAGATGCGCTTGGCGGGGCCTCTGCGTCACTCCTCTCCACAAGCCCAGGCGGGAAAGTTCTCGTTTTTGCTAGCCGGAGAATCATTTCATTTTCTATCCCTTCATTTGTAAAGTGGAAGTTTAAGATTCTGGATACGCCACAAGGGTCCTACAAGGATGGAACTGGAAAGTGAGTAAAAACATAGCTTTTCCACTGTGGGGTGGGATTGGCACAAGTAATAGCATCGAGCACCTATTAGGTAAGTGGTCGGTGGGCTTGAAGGAGCGAGCACAGGGTGTGCAAAGCCCTGAGGGAGAAAGGACACAGTAGGGTGGCCCGTGGGCCTTTGGTGGCCTCTTCTTCCATCGGAGTGGCCCTCATAACAGGTCGTCAGGGCGGTTTGGTGGCAGCAGAGTCCTAGGCTGTAGCTAGGCGCCTGAAGAAGTTTCACTCCTTTTATAGGTCCAGCATTTACAGGAAAACCTGCTGCCTCTGCCGCAGCCATGCCTCAGAGAAGGGGGGAAATGGGCCCGCAGGGAGTTCAAGATGGCTTTACCGACGTCCCTGTTCCTTTCCAGGTACCAGGATCATCTATGACCGGAAGTTCCTGATGGAGTGTCGGAATTCACCTGTGACCAAAACACCCCCACGGGACCTGCCCACCATTCCGGGGGTCACCAGCCCTGCAAGCGATGAGCCCCCCACGGAAGCCCGCCAGAACCACCTGCAGAACAGCCCCGCAGAAAAGCCGGCAGGCGGTGAGTGGCTGGGCTCGGCCAAGCGCTCAGGACGGAGCTGCGTGCGGCTGAGAGTTCTGCCCAGTGGGGGGAGCTCCAGGGAGGAAACGGTGGTGACTGCCGCCTGCACCTGTGCAGCAGCTCAGGCTCCAGAAGCTCGGGGTAGGGGTTGGGGGGACGGTGGGGAGAGCTTCCATCAATACCAACGTTCCCCAAGAACGGGGCCCAAGAACCCCAGGAAAGATGATTCGGCCTCTCTGGGTGATCTAGTCAGCAGGGCAGCCAGACTGGGATGGGAGGGGCTCCGCACAGCGATTTCCTGCGTGTGCCCCTTTACAGACTTGCCCCTGAGGCAGTGCCTGGTATCTGCAACACTTGAAACACACCCACGACGTTCATGTGCAGGAGATGACTTTTCAAACACATGGTGTCCTCGTCCTGTAGGAAATGACATGTCTAACTGGCTCAGAAAGGCACCCAGGATGCCTTCTGTCAGGGTGTTGGTCCACTAACGGATTGTTGATGAAAACAGGTTGAAACAATGCAGCCAGTGGTCTCTGCAGGTTTGCCATGGGGTCTCTAAAGCCTTCTGGTCCCCGCCAGTAACCAGAGCGGCACCGCACCGCAGGCAGAGGTGGGTGTGGGTGTAGTGTTTGTGGCCCTGTGCCTGGCTTGTCAGAGCATCTGAGCTCGCCCCCTGCAGGAGGAGGCGGTGTAAGCATGTGCAGCGAACCGCCAGCCTGGAACCCGCTGACCCTTCACCAGGAAGGCAGAGGACCAGACCAGGCAGGAAGCAGCTGGGGCCTTGGGTCGGGCTGGCTTTGCTGACAGCAGCAGAATCTATCTACCCAGGGCCTGCACGACACACTTTATAATTACCTTGGGAACCCCACAGCCCAAGACAGGAAGCGGTTGCCTTGCCATGCAGACTTGGAGAGCAGTAGACGGCAGGGAGGTGACACACAGCAGTGAGGATGGCACCAGGCGGTGGGGTTCCCTGCTGCGTGTTAAAGGAGGGAGAGAAGGAGGGACAGATGTACAAGGTGGCACGGTGCCTCCCATCCCCACTCTTTGCTTCAGAGCCTGGAAGTTGAGGGTGACGGTGCAACTCCTGAAGTTGCTAGGTCACCACTACCTGAAGGCTGCCCCGCCCCTGCTCGAATACCTTCTTCCCTCCCAGTGTCTCGAGCTGCCCTGGCCCATAGCAAATGCAGGGCTGGCCCAGTGGTGCCCCAGGCAGCGGCTCATCCACAGCAATGCTGGGAGTTTCGCATAGTCGGGATGGGGTGTGGTGGGGAGGAAGTGACATCGTTTTTCATTTTGCTGAACTGGATGTAAGAAGCCAAGGCTCCTGGTCTTGGACCCAGGTGTTTGTGTAAACGAAACAGGAAGAAGAGCCCAGTTGTTGTTCTGTGTGGCCAAAGCAGACATCTTACTATGTACAACCTCGGGCCTTGCCTGGCAGATGCTGAATGAGGCAGTGGCATTAAAAAGAAAAACGACCTGCTACAGCACAAATGACTTGGAATTTTTAGTGGGAAGGGGGGCGAGGGCAGTGAGTGACTGACTTACCCAAATGACTACTATTCCAGGCTATTCCATGAGCAATCAGATGTATTCCTCGTAGGTGTGGTACCATTTTCTTAACCAAAAGCTGGTGTGGTACCATTTTCTTAACCAAAAGCTGAGACACGTGCTCAAAAAAGCTGTATGCTTAAGGACTATTTTTCTTTTCTCTCCTTTTTTAAAAAAAGATGTAACTATTTATTGTTAGAGAGCGGGAAGGGAGAAAGGAAGGGAGAGAAACATCGATGTAAAAGAAACATCAGTCAGTGGCCTCTTGGACACACCCTGAGCGGGAATCTAACCCACAACCCAGGCATATGCCCCGATTGGGAATCGAACCTGCATCCTTTCTTTGATTTGTGGGGTGATGCCCAACACACTGAGCCACGCAGGTCAGGGCTTAAGGAATATTTTTCTATGAAATTATGTCAGTTCACAAGTAACCATTCTTTCTTATTCAACGTAGGAAAAATTATGCGGAATTCAGGACTGTCACCTGTCCTGTGGGAGACGAGGTCTCCGCTCTTTCTTTGGGATGGGGGAGGAGGGCCCAGCTGGACAGGGCGCCTCCGGGCCAGGTTTCCGAGAACGCCTAGTGCAGTTCTCTCCCTGCCCCTCGCTCTCCTTGGCAACATGGGCCTGGCCTCGGCTCTTCCTGCAGCAGGAACACCAGACTGCAAAGCTACCCCTCTCCCTGGCCTCTAAATGTCAGTCCTACCAATGGCCCGATGCTCACCTGACCTTCTGTCCTTTCTCTCCCCAGGTGAAGAGTCACAGTTTGAGATGGACATTTAAGGGACCAGTCATCAGATTGAGCAATGCCTCTGGGCCCCTCTGGCCCTTCTCGAGAGAAGAGTCACACCAGCCAGTTATCATCCCGGGCAGGCACTGGGTGTGGGGTCGACCACCCCGGTCCTCTGCTCCCTCGGTCAGGGCACCTGCTCCCCCTTCCACTTGGTGACCAGCAGACACCTCTGTGTGCCTCCATTCATGCAGGAGCTGGCACCCCAAGGACAGTGACTCTTGAGCACACACCCTGCAGCCTGAGGCCAGGAAGCGGACTTGGAAGAGCCATTCTGGATGATCATGGCTCTTCCTCTGAAGACATGCCCACCCCTTCCTTACCTTATTGTGCCTGGGAAACTTTCCTCCCCCCTGCTTCCCCAAGAGAGGAAATAAAAGCCACCTTGGCCCCAGGGCCAAGAGTTGGCCCTGTCTGAGGTCTTTCCAGCTCCGTGTGGGTAACTAACCCCAACTACCATGCGCACAGTGCATGTAACACTCTTTCCTGTATAGCATCTCATTCGATTCTCCTGCCAATCCTGCGACCTAAGTAGGGCACGTGTTATCCTCGTTTTACAGCTCAGAAGTTACAGTCGCACACCAGAAAGCAGAGACGGGGTGGGACCGAGTGGGTGTGGACGGGGCGCTCTCCACTTCTTGTTTTTCAGTGGCGGGTGCCACCTCTTTTCTGGGCTTCGCTTCCTCGAGCCTGGCAGCGAACCTGTCACCTTCACTCTGGGCTCCATGCTCCACAAGAGTCAAAGGGAAGAGCCTGAGCCCTGGCCAGCATAGAGGCTCTTTGATCCACGTGCCTCTGGTGTTTGTCAGCTGATCCCATTTGTGTCATGAGGGACACAAATGTGAGACAAGCTCTCCTCTTTGACCATTTCATTGAAACACATGATTTACCCGTAAGAAAAATCACACAAAAGAGATTACAGAGGACTGGTCACCGGCAAGAAGTCTATACAAAGGGAGGTGATGCCACAGAAGTCTATACAAAGGGTCCTGGGAATGAGTGGGCTGGGGAGAGGCAGGAGCCCAGTGTCGTTGCCAGGGTCAGCCGGTTCTGCAGATCAGGATGTACAAGACAGGACATCAAGTTGCTTGTTTTGGCCAGAGCAGGCAGTTTATGTGGTTGGAGATGGCTTTTATAAACGGGCAAAAAAGGCCGCCTCTCAAACCGCCCCGGATGCCAAGCAGACGTGGAGGAGCCTTTCTGAGCGATTGTCTGGCTCTGTAAGCACTTTCCTATACATTATCTTATCTGGTTCTCATGCTGATCCTGTGACGCAAGTAGGGCAAGTGTTACCCTCGTCTTCCAGCCTAGAAGACCGGCTCAGAAGTCAAAATCGCACTCCAGTAATGAGAGACCGGACTGGGTTTGGACTGGGTCTTTGCTGAGAGAGAAGGTATGGCTCTCATCACAGGATGTGCTCGGGGTGGATGGCCTTTGACCAAGAGGCAGTGGCTGACCTGAACTTCAAAAGCTCTGGGCTCATAGCTCTTGTCAGTCTGCTGTAGGGAGCAGCGGGCCTTAGTGGCCTTTTCTATAGCTCAGTTGGAGTCACCTCCCCTGTGAAGGCAGCTGGAATCCGTGTGCTGATGACGGTGGTGTGGGTAAGGACCCGGCCACGATGGCATACTGAGTAGACACACAGCGTACCCTTTCTGTATAAAGAGACAGACTATGGAGGGGCCACTGCCAGGGCAAAGACAACTAAAGCTCTAACTAGAGATGGGATCACCCTTCCCAGTCCCTTAGCTTTCCACTGAAAGCATCTTACTCCTCCCCTGACATCCAGCCTGAGGTCTTGCTCACAAGTCTATGCGGTCAGATCCATTCCTCTTCTAGGTTTTGTATTTCAGGGTCCAAGAGATGGGGGGAAATCAGCTTCTCTGGCAAAATTGCTCACAAGTTGTGTACCTTTCCCACTGAACGAAAGTTTCCTCCAGAAAACCTAGGTATTTCTTGCGCATCATTCTGGCCGGATGCTGTGGAATAGCAAAGATCTATGATACAGCCCCGGTCCTCAAGGAAGGTAAAATCTTGGGGAGATAAGTCTCCTGTGACCCAATTTAACATCCCAGTGTACAGAGTCCCAGTGGAAGACAAACTGTAGGAAACCATCACAGCTTGGCCTCCTCATGCCCTGGCATCACCAAAACTCTTGTTTTCCCAACTGCAAAACACAACTGTGGGACTGGCCCACATGCTGTGAACCAGGAAATGCAAAGGAGTGTTTTGAGCTGTGATGTATGTTCCCAAAATGCTTACAACCTGATCTGGAGGTGAGAGGCTCTTTGAATAGCAGAAGGACACCTGGAGCCCTGGCTGGTGTAGCTTAGTGGATTGAGTGCAGGCCTGTGAACCTAGAGGATCAGGGTTCAATTCCCAGTCAGGGCACATGTCTGGGTTGCAGTCCAGTTCCCAGCAGGAGACACGCAAGAGGCAACCATACATTGATATTTCTCTCCCTCTCTCCTTCCCTTTCCCTCTAAAGATAAATAAAATCCTTTTTTAAAAAAGGACACCTGGAAATGTCATAAAACAATACGTTATTGTCCAAGGCTGGAGGCTGCATCGATGCCATGAGTTAAGGGAATCAGAATTCTTCCCAGAGGAAGAGGGACTTGACAGGACCGGAAGGATTTTAATTTGGGGAGTGCCTTCCTGGATCATGAATGGCCGGAGGTACAGAAAGCGGGAGAGTGGGTTAGCTGGGAGCAGGTTGAAGCTGTTGGGTTTTCCACACATGAATGAGGAGGCTGAACCAGGTCAGTGGAAATGGGGACAGGGGGTCCTGACTGTACTTGGTGGGGCTGAAGGAGAGAAGTGTCATGGAGACTTCTGGTCTGGGTGCATCAGAAGACAGGTCAGAAAGAAGTGCCGATTTAGGAGCTGCACAGAGTGAACAGTGGCAAGGCCACTAACACACTTTGGGAACTGTTCCCCGTGAGCAGGAGTGGCATGTAAGGGCCTGAAGGTCCAGTGATTTCCCAACCTCCACGCTGCTGTTGGCACAGCTGTGGGCATCTCTCCAGCTCTCAGGTAGCCAGGTGAGGTATGGATGGAGGCCATCTTCATACTGGCACCCTTTAGTGTGACATCCATCACTGCTGAAACAACTCAAGGAAAGCCCAAGAACACATGGCCAACCAAGAAATCCCAAGGTCTGAAAACCAGTATTTCAGGAAGAGCTCGGTTCACTAAGAGACCCAGCAAGTGGTCTTTTTCAGCTAAATCTGATATTCTGACTCAACAAGTCACTGCTAAGCCTCTTATCCATGCCCAGCATGGCGCTGGATCTTGAGGCAATACAAGAGAATTTCAAGACAAACACCTGAGAAAAAACTAATCCCAGGAGGCAAGATTAAGCGCATATAAGGAGAGTATGACTGGTCAGCAGGACAGGAGCAGCTGAAGAGTGCAGTGCAGAGGGGAAACTACCTGAACAAAGGTGTGGTGTCTGTAATGAATATAGCCCGTGTAGGGATCTATGTGGGGCTGAGGTGTGTTGGGCAGCACAAGGTAAATGTAAGTAGCACAGGATTAGATTGTTCAAACAAACAAACACTGATGGAATGGATGTCTTCTGTATTCTAGAGCTTTACTGCACTCCTATTTATGGTCTACATAGCTTAAAAGCAGGTGTTTGTATTCCCACTTTATACATGCCCATGGCTAGCACATGTCAGAATTAGGATTCCAGCTTTTATCTGTCCAGCACCAAAATCCGTGCTCTTTATACCCCATTGGTGGGAACTGAGGTCTGGGCTGTATAGATTCTGAGCTGTAGGCAACTAGGATGTTGGTTGGAGGTAATAGAACAAGTCAGTAACAGACTGGCGTTCAGGTAAATCGGGTGAAAGGAACTAGAGTCATTCAGATGTTCGGTGCGTTGCTCAGACTTGGGGTAGGGGGACAAAGGAGTGAAAAAAGATGAATAGCATTTTCTCATTTCAGAAGGTCTATTTATTAAGTACCTACTGTGTGCCTAGGTGCAGGCACTGTTTTAAGCACTAGAAAGAGCCATGGGCAAAGCTAAGCCTTCCAGAAGCTGATGTAACATACCTTTAAGGATTAAAGCCCTGTGTGAGTCTTGTTTTGTACATGCAGCTTTCATTGGTGAAATCAGAAACCTGGCCACCTCAAAACAAGGTTCAGAATTTAGCAAGGCCAGCCCTCCCTGCCCCTGCTGAGCAGGGGACATGTGCTCCTGGCTGTGGGGACAATTAATCCTGCATGGAAGAGCCAGCACCCCAGTGACAAGCAGCAGACACCTCGGTTTCTGGAAATAACTCGAGCAAAGCCTCCTCATCTGCAGTAGATTAAATAAGCATGAGAAGGAAAGGAAGTGCAGGTTCACTGGGGAAAAGTGCAACCCCTGAATACTAGGTTTTCTTGAATGAGTGTGACCTGAAAGTACCCTGCAGGGAGAGTCGGACAGGAAGCCCCATTGCCACAAGTGGAGGGGAATCTCTCCTTCCTGCAACTGTTCAGAGGCCATAGCACAGGAAAGCAGATTTTGGCCCTCCTTTTGTTCCTTACTCTTAAATACTCAAGAGGAAAGGGAGTTATTTAGCTTCCAGTGACAATACTCAACACAGTGCTGCCTCCTGCTGGAAGCGTTGGTTAGAACAAGAAAGGAAGCATACCCCTCGGAAACAGTTGTTCCATTCCATTCCTCTAGGTGTAGAAGGAAAGTGAAGGGCGCCACGTGCATTCTAGACTTCTCCACATTATCTCAAGATTACGCAGGTGGACCCTCATTCTCTGAGAAGAAGACTGAAGGAGTTTTCCAGATAGGGTGACCAGAGATGTATTGCTGGCGGAACCAGGGTAGAGGACAACACGCCCGCGCTGCCCCTTGTGGAACAAGCTGGTCAGAACCTTGCCCCTTCCCTCCAGCCAAACAGCCATGCGTACTGCCCTCTGACCCTCAACTCGCACTCACAGCAGTAACCAAGTGGCTCTACCCACCAAGGAACTCCACCTAGCGTCAAAGTGTACCTATTTATAGGGTTCTTCCCAACGCGAGCTTCTGCCATTAGGTTGCATTGAAACCTTTTCTAGTGATTCCACCCTATCATGGGAGAAGTAAGATTGCTTTCCAAAAGGACAGTCAGGACTTTGAACTGTTAAAAACTCCTCCCTTAGCCTCGATCAAATAATTTCAGATTTGCATCAGTATTGTAACCATAAATGTAGTCACTCAGGTAATCCCCCAGCTTCTGGATAGTTTCAGCTTCTGTGACCTTCAAGAACCACCAAAGCCCTGGCTGGTGTAGCTCAGTAAATTGAGTGCGGGCCTGCGAACTAGACAATCGCGGTTCGATTCCTAGTCAGGGCACGTGCCTGGGTTGCAGGCCGGTTCCCTGCAGGCCAGTTCCCAGCAGGGGATGCAGGAAAGACAACCATACATTGATGTTTCTCTCCTTCTCTCTTTCCCTTCCCCTCTAAAAATAAATAAATAAAATCTTTAAAAAAAAACCACCAAGAAGCCCAGCCACAGCTGTGTTTCCTAGCTCCCGAGCTGAGTCTCTTAACTCCAAGGGACATTTACAGCATACGAGGAAACCCTGACATCCAAATCAGAGGCCTGGATGCCCAGATACTCTGTAAGCCTGATGAACTTTGCCATGCTCTTACTCAATTTGCTGCCAGAGCTTGTCAGTGGCACTGGTCTGATTAGGGGGGAAAGTGGCATGACTTCATCGCTTCTTCCCTCTGTGGATGGCATCTAAACCAGACCAGCTCTTTGGCACTGCCCAGAGGCCAAAGAGATTTTTTCAGTGCCAGCACCTGGTAACACATGAGCACCCTTGGTCCACCGCCTCCACCTATTCAGCCCTAGTTTTGGGAGACCTCAAACCACGGAGGAACAAGTTAGTACTTCTACTATTCTTTGCTGTAGTCAAGACGCAGCTGGAAATGCCACATGCTCTTGAGGCCCTCTGTTGACAGGATGGTCTGTTTAGCACCTCCAGCCAGAAACTTCAGCCACTGCCTCTGCCCACCCTCCCAGACACTCCAGTTCTTCCTTACGTCAGACGTGGCAGCTTCCTTCACGTTCCTCCAGGGTTGAGCACGGGCCATCACAAACAGGATCTCATCAGCCCAGGGGAGAGCAGCCAATCCTGGCCTGGCAGACAGCTGGCCTGCCGTGCGTTGCGCTCACATGGTGCTACACTAAGTGTATGTGACCAAATGGGTGTTTGGACCCAGGGGAGGGCAGGTAGCAGAGGGCCCAGCTTTTGAGCCAACATTATGGAAACATAAATATCTGAATGAGTAACCGCCATTAAGGTTTATGCTCACGGGGCTTTTACAAGTGGTTATCTCTGAAGGAAGGGAGGTGATTACAGAGACTGCCTGTTCTTCCACAATATACTTCTATAGTATTTTAGATTTTTCTATGAGTTAGATTTTAACATTGCTTTTTTAACATTTGCCGTTCAAGCCAGAAAGAATACAGCAAGCAAAGGAGGCAAAAATGCACTGAGTGTCGATCAGGAAGCCGAATGCTTTTGAACCTTTCGAAGAAGTATATTCTGAATAAGCAACTGGATTTGTTATAAATAAAATGATTCCCTGTATCTGTCTTCATACAGGTGAGCCAAATGGGATTATGGCCATCTGAATCCACCATAAAATGTTCTACTTACTCTATTACTGAGGACTATGCTCACATAAAAACAAAGGTTCTGGAGGAAGTAACTTTGATGTAGGCCTTGCTGTAATGGACATGGATACAAGGAGCCAGGCACAATCCAGATGGGGGAAAGCAGGGACGACCAGACCTAGGGAGCTGAGGACGGGGTGGAGTGTATTGAGAATGGGGGGTTCCAACAGGACAGGGAGGTCATTTGCTGGGCAGATGAACCTTGAACACAGACCTGAGTCTGAGTTCTCTCTGAAAGGCAGTAAGTAGCTTCCGAGGAGGGATAAGGTGATGTGGAGGGGCCGAAGGACTGGCCAGGGTGGACGGGAGTGGGAAAGCCTGCAACACAGAGTCAGTTGTGGTAAATCCTTGTGAGGAGATGAAACTCCGAATAGTGGGCTGGTGAGAGGCAGCAGAACTGAGGAGGGACCAGGGAGCATTTCAGATCGTGCTCCCCAGCATATGTCATCACTTTGGTGCAAGTAAGCGCTTACAAAAAATTCAAGAAATGAACTGAGAAGGGACGAAAGTGAGACATGGTGGGGAAGAGTGGGGAAGAAGACAAAGAGCACTTGTTTAAAGACTTCATTTACTTCTGATTAGAGCAACAGACGAACACTGTAGAACACTAGGAAAATATAGAAAAAAGAATAAGCAGTCTTTATAAACCCACCACTCAGAAATAACAACTGTAAGTGTTTGAATAGTATATTTGAAGATGAGGGGAGAATGGACTCTGTATTTGCACCACAGCGAGGCGAATAACAGTCTTCAGCAGGCAGCTGTATCCAGTCAGCTTTCTGGCAAGCCACTGAGTTCTCTGCTAGGGACAGAAAGAGTTTCTAACACTGTTTCTCCTGTTTGTCCATCCTAAACACCCCACCTAGTGCTCCGTTAGTGATTTTCATTAACCTTATCTTGGAAAGGTGCCCCATTGGGTGGATGCCTTGCTTTCCCATCTCAGAAACTAGGCCTGACTCTTAGCCTGGCCCCCTTATACCCACAGGTAAGTTGGCTGTGAGAAAGAGGAAGGGAATTCTCCTAAAACCTCGAAACTCAAATGTTCTCTTCTCTCACCGCAACCTCTCACCATCCCAGTTCCTGCCTTCTCATGTGGACTTCTGGACACCGAATTCTCCCGTTTTTCTGTCCTTTTGTTTTCTCATGCACCATGGTTAATCATCTGGAATGCTTTGTCACTATTGGTGAGAGAGAGAGAAACATCAACCTGCCACTCCACCCACCCATGCATCCATTGGTTGACTCTTGCACATGCCCTGACCAGTGATGAGACCTGCAACCCTGGCACATTGGAAACATATTCCAGCTAACTGAGCCACCTGGCCAGGGCTTAGTTAGGAAGTTCTCATTTCAGACCATCCTGTGTGGTTACTCTAGAATCTAGTTTAGATCTTGAGTTTGTAAGGCCACCATGCAGGCCTCCCCTGAGCTGTTAGGTTTAATATGTGGCCCCTTTTTCATCCACACTGGTCAAGTATTTTCTGGAATATCCCTGTTTGGATTTGGCTGATGTTTTTCTTTTGATTAGACTGGGTTATGAATTTTAGGGAAGAATGAAACAGAGACGAAGTAGCTCTCTCATTGCATCATATGAGGGTGCAACTATTAGCATGACTTGTAACTGGTGATGTTAACCTTGACCACTTGGTTAAGGTGGTGTCTGCATTTCTCCCCTGTAAAAATTAATGTTTTCCTTTTCCATGTTCTGTTGTTTAGAAGTAAGTCATTAAATACAGCCCGCATACTCAAGGGGAGGGGGGATTCCATCTCTGACTCCCGGAGGAAGGCTCATCAAAGATTTTGTCGCCATGTTGCCCTGACTGGAGCGGCTCAGTGGATTGGGCATAAAACCGAAAAGGTCACAGATTTGATTCCTGGTCGGGGCACATGCCTGAGTTTTTGAGGGCCAGGTCCCCATGTGGGGGTGTGCTACCAAGAAAAAAAAATCTTTAAAAAAAAGGTTTTGTCATTGTGTTAAAACCTCCATTATAACAAATATTTTGGGGTATGTACTTTGAAACTGTGTAAGTGTTCTGTTTTTTTTCTAAAGTTTTACTCAATACTATTAGCACTTGTTTCCAACAATTTAAGAAATAATCTATCACTTGGTAATTCAATTATATCCTCCTTCGGTTTTGTTGAGAACAAATAATTGAGGGCCAATTGGGGAATCAAAATACCTGCACATTACCAATTGTTCTTGTGCCTAGTATCCCAGAGGTTTGTACACCCTGGGGCAATACATCATAGAAAGATTTAGATGCAGGACTGGGGAAAAGTAGTTTTATTTTATTTTATTTTACTGGCCAAGTGAGACGAAGTCAGCAACTTTTTAGTAAGTAGATTGTAAACACTGATTTCCTGAAAACTGTCTTGGCCCGAATACTTATACGGGTTTGTATTCTCGTTTGAAGGCCATGGCTCTGAATGATTCCACTCCAATGATTTCACCTGCCAACAGTGTCGCTGTTACCTCTAGTCCGTACCTGGTCCTTTTTCTAATGACCAAGCTTTTCTAAACTCTTAAGCCCCACAGAACCTGGTTCCCTAGCTTGCGGGCTTCATTTTCCGCTTCTTCAAATATAAAGCGGCTTGCAGCTTCTAGAAGACACAATGCTTCTTGCCTCTCCCGCCTGCATACTCCATTCACATCCTCTTCCCGGTCCTCTCGTCGTAGCTGAGGCTCTAGATTCAGACTGTCTAGGCTCCCATTTCTAAAGGCCAGTTGGAAAGTTGTGCCAAATGGCAGATCAGGGCAGTGCAGCTAATAAACTACTTCTGCGGCGGGGCAGTCAGACTAGCTAGCTTTTCCGGAAGACGTTTCCTACATTTACAGGTAGGTACATTTGCAACGCACACGACCGCGTTCAAATCTGTAGGAAGCCAAGGCTCTCAGGGAGCGTCTGCCCCGGGAATGAAGTTACTACTGGAGGAAATCCCACTAAGCAGCAAGTCTCCTTCGCCTTCACGTTGCTTTTTTGCCAGTGGCTAGCCAGGCCCCGACGCCCCGCCCACTTCTGCCTGCCCTGGGGACCTTAAAGTGGGCCGGGAGTGCTCATTACTCAGACAGGCAGTGGACCCACCTTGAGCCTTTACTATTTGAAGATTTTACAGACTGTCAGCAACTCGCGCGAGACGGATTTAGTGTTATCGCGAGAAGTCTAGGAAGCGGTAGTGATGGCGGCGGCGGGAACGGGACCTGGACCCGGAGTGGGTGCAGGACCTGGTACAGCAGCGGCTGCGAATGCAACAGCAACCGAGGAAGCGGAGACGAAGCAGGTGGTGGCGGCAGCAGCGGCTCCAGCCGGAGATGGGGCATCTGCTGCCCCAGCAGCGGAGCCCAGTTCCGGAGAGGCCGAAAGCGGGTAAAACGCCCTGCAGCCACTGTAGGGCAGGGGAAGGGAAGCCCGCCCCTCTTGGAATCCCGCGGCTCCCGAAAGCCCTCCTGCCGGCCCCATCCGAGCCTACGCCCTGCACCCAACGGCTCGCCCTGCCCCCTGCGGGACCGTAGTCCCGCCCGCCGCTTGGCCCGTCCCTTCTGAACTGTATCTCAGACTACGCCCCTTTCCGCACCTTTTAAGGTCTGTGAGAGCCAACTTTTTTGTTAAGTCTCCGGTGCTTGCACACCGGTGGGGGGCTGGTAGTGCAGTCTTCTAGCAGCAACCCCTCAAATATCCCAGAGAAGAAACCACTTTGCATTGCCAGGCTGGAAAAAGTGGCGGTCTCTCTGAAACAGTGGGAGAACTGTACGTCTGTGAACCGCCCCCAGGACCAATTCCATCCCTTGTAGTTTTGTCTGTAAGGGCCGATTAGGCATCCTTGTGTCCCGTGGGCCTCCTTGTGTCTGAACCACATTCTTCCTAACCCTGGGCACCGAGTCTGAGAACGGGCTTAGCTGAAAAGTCTGAGTGTGAAGTTTAGCAGTACTTTGATCATTGTCTTTGGGAATAGGCGTTTTGAGGTTTGTTTCGAATATTTTTACTTGACTGCCTTCATTATCTTGTAGGGATGCAAACTCTGTTGATGTGAGTGGTGGTTTAGAGACAGAATCCTCTAATGGAAAAGATACACTAGTAAGTATTTCTCTTCGGATGTTTGCAAGGCAAAATAGAGTTTGTTTTTGTTTTTGTTTTTGTTTTAGTTTTTAAGCGAGTCAAAAACACAGTCAGGTCCACTAACTTGATTCTCTGATTGCTCTCGACACAGGAAGGTGCTGGGGATACGTCCGAGGTGATGGATACTCAAGCGGGCTCCGTGGATGAAGAGAATGGCCGGCAGCTGGGAGAAGTAGAGCTGCAGTGTGGGATATGTACAAAATGGTTCACAGCAGACACCTTTGGCATAGATACCTCGTGAGTACTTTCTGTAGTCTTTGTAAGAATCGCTTGTGACATACTGTAGTCTTTGTAAGAATCGCTTGTGACATAGATCTGAACATGTTCAACAGTTTGTTTGTAGGTCAGTATAAATGTATAGTTTTTCCTGTGGTTCCTAACCCCTGTTCAGTGAGTCAGTAGTAGGACTTCAGTCAGTTATTTTAATACCATGATCGTGTTTTCTGCCTACTGAGAGCACAGCCCTAATAGGTACAATGGTGGGTACTGTCCCTGCTTTTGAGCTTTACAACCATTTTGAGACAAAATCATGCGGTTACAAAGTACTGTATAAACAGATTTGAATCAGTATCATTTGAACCTTGTATTGGGTGTTGTGGATTTTGGGGAAAGGGTTGTATGTAAGTGAACACAGCCTGAAGTCAAAAATTTCAGATGACCCTTCATGCCTGAGCCATCCTTTTTCAGCTTTTGCTTCTAAATCATTCCTTTAGGTATCCTGAGTTCTCTCCTCAGCAAAACCTATTTCCAGTCTTTTACCTCTTCTAGTGAATTAAAATCACTTTGGGAGTGAGAATGAAAGGCTTCTTTCCTTATTTATCAACAGCTAGCAAGTGACAATTTCTGTCTGTGGCAATAATTGTACTGCTGGCTCTCTGTGGTGTTGTGGTCCATATAATACCAGTAAATTTACGCAGGATTATCTCAAAATAAGGGTGCATTATTAAGTTAATTTCCTTGGGCGGGATTGTGGAGAAATATCCTTGTTTGTAATTTGTTGAATGCTTCCTAGAGAAAAAGTTAAAGTGTGTTTTAGAAATGCTAATGTTCCATTAACATGTGACTGGTGAGTTAGGATAAAATGTTTGCAAAAGGAAGAAAAGTACTAAAGAATCAGGAAGAAAGAATTGATTTTGGTAGAAATATCTATAGGGAAGAAAATAAACTAGCTGAGCAAATCTTGTTGGTTAGAAAAGACCTAAAATCTGACCACTTGTGGAGGTTTGGATTGACAGGACTAGGAAAGGAAATTTACCAAAGAGATAACTGGGGAGTAATTCAGGGAAGAATCAATCCACAGTTCAAAGTTTTGATCAAGACCAGTTTGTACCTGTATTTGAGAAGTTAACACCTGAAGCCCAGATAAGTGGGACAGCTTATCTTCTACGCTGAGAGGAGGAAGTGAACTAGAAAGATGGGGAAAAGGCTGCTCTAAACACCTGATTGTGTTTGGATTAAATAACTGTATTTAACCTGCTTCTGGCATGAGGCTTTGCCTTCTGTAAATGTGTATCACACAGGCTATTTAACAGAAGGGTTTCTAGAGAGAAGTGAAGGTAAGGGATGCGATCTCAACATTCATAAGAATGTTTCGTAATCCCATGGGTGGTAGCAGTGGGCACACACTGGGAACCTCCTTTTTGAGAATGCCTTAAGCTAGTTTTAGTCCAAGATAAACCTGCCTTTATTTTGATTTCTCTTCCAACTTACACTGATCTTTTATTTTTCTGTTACTCTCTTTTTTCCAAGACTGAGTTCTCCCCGTGCTTTTCTCGTCATCCGGTGTAGTCACCACCCCCTTTCCTTCTCTAATGCATCAATTTCTCAGTCTCTGCCATGTTCAGTCTCTTCCCTTCTCCCGGGTTCCTCCTCTCTGTCTTCACACAGACAAGTTTGCAGGAGATTGCCTCTTTATGATACAAGCCGTCTTAAGTGGCTGGGACTCCTTTCATTTCCTGCCCACTCCTCCGTTTAGTCAGCCGCCAAGCTTTACCAGTTTTTATTCTTCTACACTCATCATTTCCATTTTTGTTACTATCACTCTAGGTGAACCCTAGAATGTCTTATTAAATATTTGTGAGAGAAAAACCCAGGTATTTGTAAAAATACAAGTCCTGTTTTGATTTTGGTTACCTTTTGAAGTTTTAATTGTATATAAATATATGCATATTAACATGGCGGTGTTACTTGCACTGTTGTTTTACTTCTTATAAAGAAGTGTGTGTGCAGAAGTTCTTATAAAGATCGCTGATTTGTACAATTCGGCTGTTCTGCAGATCCTGTCTACCTTTCATGACCAACTACAGCTTTCACTGCAACGTGTGCCACCATAGCGGGAATACCTATTTCCTCCGGAAGCAAGCGAGTAAGAACAGAGTATTGCAACAGAATGGTCCTTTGTTAGCTGGGACAGAAAAAGAGTGTGGGCTTAGCAGAATTGGGAATCCTTTGCCTGGTAGCTGGTAGAAGTTGCATTGGGGTTTAGCTCTGAATAATTGCTATTGTTGGTTTCAGGTCAAATGATGACTGTAGTTGTTCATTTGTAGACCATGTTGTTGAATATTCTTTTGGTAATAAGAGTTGGTATTATAGGTAACTTTTTCTTCCTTTTTGTTTTTGGTAGACTTGAAGGAGATGTGCCTTAGTGCTTTGGCCAACCTAACATGGCAGTCCCGAACACAAGACGAACATCCAAAAACCATGTTCTCCAAAGATAAGGTAGAGATGCAGTTACTGTAATTGCAATTATGCCAAAGAATCAGGTGGAATGTCTACATATACTCTTTAATGCTAAGTACTTTCCCCCCCAATTTGTATGAATATGTTATTTGATTCAGTACTTATTTTATTCTTATTTTATGTGATTTAATAACTTCCTAACCTGTGTACAGTATGTCATTTGGCTTAGCTATTAGGATGAATCCTTAAGTAATTTTGGCTGGCTTTATAAAAGCAAATGACTGTCTAGCTTACAATTAGTAGTCAGAGTTTGAGGTGAACCTTTTCAGCCTAGTTGGGCTATTTTAATAGATGCCATCACAGATTTTTGTCATAGGGAAAGGCGGCCAGTTTATACATGCCATGTATTAAAAACAGTTATTTTTTATTATTAAGTTGGAAAACCACATGACTACTAGTCAGGATTCAAAATTACTTGATTATTCCATCCATGAGTCCTTTCTGCTGTGATTCATGGTTAAGAAATATGAAAATTAAGTAATTTAAAATAATGTCTACACCCTGGCTGGTGTAGCTGAGTGGATTGAGTGCAGGCCTGCAAACCAGACAATCGCGGTTCAATTCCCAGTCAGGGCACATACCAGGGTTGCAGGCCAGATCCCAGCAGGGGACGCATGAAAGGCAACCATACACTGATATTTCTCTCCCTCTCTCCTTCCCTTCCCCTCTAAAGATAAATTAAAATCTTTTAAAAAATAAATAAAATAAAATAAAATAATGTTTACTTTGTGACCTAGTATATATTCATACCTACCCACTCTCATTTACAACTGAAAAAAAAACTTTCATCTACCAAGGCTTACCATCTGATCTTTTCCTTCTGTGCTCTGACGTTTGCTATCCTAGTCTATAGACCAGTTTTCACCTATAATCTACTAGTAGTTCTCAACCTACAGTTTGAAAGACATTGCTATAAGATGTGCAGTTAGATCAATATAGCCAGGATCAGGCTTTGGCGAGGGCCTTTTCTACTAAAGAGAAACTAAGGCTTAATTCTGGAAGCTGCCAGAGTTGGCAGAGGTCCTCCCCCTGCCTCCTTTTACCCCAGTTATTAAAAGTGCTTTAAATAGAGGTGTGCTGTGGTAGACTTGGGGTTTTCTTCCTTGTGGTTTTATCTTTTTCCCAAATTATTTTGAAATTTCCAGTCATACAGAAAAATTCAAATAGTACAATGAACATCTATTCATTCTTTACCTAGATTTGCCAGTTAATATTTTGCTACATTTGCTTTATCTCCACATATCTATATTTCCCCTCTATGCTGTGTGAGACTAAATTACAGATATTACACTTTACCCAATATTATCTCATAACCACAATGTGGTAATCATACTAAAAAAATTTAGTTGATGCAATAAAGTATCTAATATATACAATTTGTATCCTTTTATATACAATACACATACATATTTTTTCTGTATTATTATTGTCTTAATATTATTCATAGTGTTTTCCTCTATCCAGGATCTGATCAAGGATTACACATTACATTGAGTTGTAATGTCTCTTTTGTCTATAATCTGGAATAGTTTGTTTACTTATTTTATTTATTTTTTTCAGTTTGCTATGACATTTAAAATTTTAAAGAAAAAAATTTTTGAGGAGCCTAGAACATTTTATCATGATATTCTTAATTTGCATTGTCAACCAGTGGTCAGTGGCCATTCCACGCCAACAGGAGTCCCCAGTTTGGTATGCAGCGAAGAAGGAAACTTGTCATTTATTTCAAAACAGCTCAGTTGTGATAAGCAGGGCTCTGAAAACAGCCTGGCTATGAAGCAGCTCTAGAGCCCCAGGCTTTCTACTCTGGCAAGACATAGTTGATATTTCAGCTAAGCAAGGGAGACACAGCCTTCAGTGACAAGGGAAAGTGTTCTCTGAGAGCCCACCAGGAACTGACAGAAGTCTCTGTCCCTGGTCCCTGATTGGTCTATCCTCATGCAAATAAGGATTCCAAATCCTCCTAGTTTGATTGGTGCAAAAGGCACTGCCCTGATTGGGCAGAATAGAGCCACTGTAGTTGGTCAGAGATTCAAAGCTCTGATTGGATGGGGAAAGCCTCAGTCCCATTGGTCCAAATACACACACTGCAGGCAGGTAGTTCAGTGCAGACCTCTCCCTGAAGTGCAGTTGTTGAGGCCTCTAGAAAATGTCTGTTAGACTCTTTTATTTTATTATTATTTAAAAAATTTAAGCCTAGTTAGCCGTGTGGAGCCGTTTTTATGGTAGGTATCTTCTCTCTCAGGGTTCACAGCATTTAGCTGATATTTTCCTCATGGCTAGGTTCAAGTGAAACATTTTTGGTAAGAATATTATTTATGTAGGTTTTCATGGAACTAGCTCTAGTGGAAGATGTTAGTGGTGGACTCTTAATTCTGGTGGACTGTGGCAAAATGGCCTGGAAAGGGGAGAGTTGATGCCAGAAGATCAAGCTCAGACATCAGACATTGTTTTAGTCATGCAGGCAAGAACTGGTGAGGATCACAGTCAAGGCGGTGGGGCTGGAAAGGAGGCCTGATTGGTGAGAAATTTCTGAAAATTTAAAATTCATTTGGTGCCCTGGCCAAGTAGCTCATTTGGTTAGAGTATCGTCTCAATTTGCCAAGGTTGTAGGTCTGATCTCTAGTCAGGGCACATACAAGAGTCAGCCAATGAATACATAAAATAGTAGAACTGCAAAGTGAAGTCTCTCTACCCCCCTCGCTAATAAATAAAGGAAATAAAATTCATTTGATTACTGATCAGTTGTGAAGGATCCAGGATGGCTCTATGGTGTCTAGGTTGGGCTTCTGGGTGATAGTTGATTGTAGTGATAACAGCAGGCATAAAAAGCTGCAGAGCAGATGTGTGAGGTAAGAAACAGAGTTCGGTTTTATTCACAAGAAGGTTGAGGTGCCTGTGGGATGTCCAGATGGAGATGTCTTGGGCGGGTGGAAATAGGAGCTCAGAAGACAGAATAGCTTTGTAGTCATCTTTCTGCGGGGAGCCAAGGTTACAATCTAGTTCGATTGTGAGCTCTGTGTCGCTAAGGTTTGTATGTACTTGTTTGAATTCCCCACAAAAATCTGTGTCTTGTTTGCATGCAATTGTTTGTTCAGTCATTAAGACTAAACATGGATTTTTCTCTTGACAGTGTCTTTGAAAATGTTGCAGTTTTCTTTCCTTTTTGTGAACATAGCTTTGAAACCAACTATAAAGGTCTCAATGTTTTGTTTTAAAAATTAGGATATCATACCATTTATTGATAAATACTGGGAGTGCATGACAACCAGACAGAGACCTGGGAAGATGACTTGGCCAAATAACATTGTTAAAACAATGGTAAGTAGGCAAAAGTTGACCGGACTTGACATTTAGGCAGGGTTCTTTATATGACTAAAATTCTCTTGAGTCTCACTGAAATAATGCTGTGACTAAGAACATGAGAACAACTTAGTATTAAGTCTTGGAGAGTGCGATATAACTACTTGTCCATCTTAATAGTTTCTACACAAAATCAGTAAGTTGCATGTCATGTGTCATTGTGCCTGTATCACTTTGCATTACATGATGCTAAAACGTTTACTGTACTCTTGCAAATACAATTTTATATTGAGATTGGAGACAGTTTTTTTTCTTTGATTTTAAAAAAAGACAACGCTGTTCTAGACATTATTGTCCTTAGAAATAAAGAGCACTTGGCAAGAAATCAACAGCAAGCTGTTAACAGTGCTTGTCTCTGTGAGGTGGAGGGGGACGTGGGGACTATGAAGGCCTTTGGCTTTCATTTTACATTGCACTGTTTGAATTTTTTGATAATCATGTATTAATATTCTAATCAGAAAAACAATACAGCCTTTCTTTGGAGATTGTACCTAGGAGTTAAAATTGATGGTTGATCATTCAGTACTACTTTTAAGAATAAAATTTTCAGTAATAAAATACTGTTTCCTTGTAGAGTAAAGAAAGAGATGTTTTTTTGGTAAAGGAACACCCTGATCCTGGGAGTAAGGACCCAGAAGAAGATTATCCCAAATTTGGACTTTTGGATCAGGTATGTTCATATTCTTTATCATTTTCCTTTTGATTTTAGGCCACTTGGGGACCTGGAGTCTGGTGTCACTTACATTCGTATATTTGCCACATACCACACACTGCCGTGACATGCCCCTGGCATGGCAGGCTCCAAGTAAATCATTATTGGCACGTGGAAAGAAAGAACACTGACCCTTTACCAGGAGATTAGTGTTTCAGTTCTGGCTCTTCCCAAAATGTTACCACTTTATGCATATCATTCTTACATTTTTTAACTTTAGTTTCCTTACGTAAAACACAAATATGCCATTCCAAGTTATTTTTTCTTTTCTTTTTTTTATTGTTATTCAGGTACAGTTTTCTGCCTTCCCCCCATGATTTTCTTTCTATTTCTAATTTCACTCTTGAAAACATTCGTTATTGTGAAGAAAATTTCACATGAAGAGTTTCTGTCACATCTACCAGAACATGAGGAAAAAGTATATTTCCACCCTGTTCAATAACGGGTCTCAATTGGCATCTCAGGAGGTCAGATCTTTCTGCTGTGCCTTGAAATGCTTTATTTGCTAGCCTTGAAAATTTAAGATTTCACATAGAAATTCAGATTTCAGTCTTGTAAAATGAAAAGATGGGACTGCACTGGGCCTGCCCGAAACCCTGCAGGAAGCTGAGTGGATGGGCCTGGGCACGCCAGTTTGCCATGCCCACCGTCACCCCCACTCCCTGTGATTGTCACTCATCATCAGCCTTAAACCACTTTGCTTCTTACACTTGAGCTGCTTTACTTGTTACTTGCTGATCCCTGAGGCATCCAAGTTTGGGACCCCTGCAAGTTTCAGATTTTTAGGATCGTCAGTTTCACTTCTAATACTATGAGAATTTCTCCTGGGTGCTTTTTTTAGCCTTGCCAGATTGGTTTGATTGTATAACTCCCTTCATAATTGAGTATGTTTCTCTCTAGGATCTTAGTAACATTGGTCCTGCTTATGACAATCAAAAGCAAAGCAGTGCTGTGTCCACCAGTGGGAATTTAAATGGTAAGTGTTTAAATGTCTCATTGATGAAATATCTGGATGCTGTTTAACTCAGATGTGCCTAGAATTGGGTATTCTTTGGTTTACTCTTAACTGGATATTTAAAGCCCCAAACTCAATGTTTAGGAGCTAGCTAAGGTTCTGATAGATGGTAGAGGAGAACTGTTTGGCACTTTATACCACAGTTCGGTCTTAAGTGAAACAGGTGCAGCGTAAAATAAGGTACACTTTTAAGGTCAGATTTACTGTGTTTACATTAGACTGTATCCTTGTAACTAACAGTTTAGATTCAGTTGCTTTCCATTCTTTATCTGTAACTTCAGTTACTTCAAAAACTTCCAATTCCCATTGTGTAACTTTCTCACCCTGGAACTTCAGCTTATTTGCATGACAGCATTTTCTGTATTGATCACCCATTGTAGCATGCTTTTTCTATCAGTAACCCATCTAATAGCAGGAATGCCCTTCATTGCCAATGTAATCGAATGAGAGCTGGGATTGCTGGGTGGTAGCTAGCTATTTCTGTGACACACGGCATCAATAACTTTGTTTTTGTTTTTGGTTTTTTTTTTTGAGTGGTGGCATCTTAAATATGTAATCATTTTCTCTGTTATGCTAAAATAGGAAATAGCTAAGTGTATTGTTTATCTTTTTACATCATTTCTTCCCCTCTTAATTGTTAAAATTTGACAAATATATGGTGCCACTTCTGTTCTTACAGGTGGAGCCTCTTTGGGAGGTGAATTCCTCCTCTGTCTTCTTTCAGCCTCTCAGACTTAAGTATTTTGTGGTTTGGAAAAACGCTTTTTTGCTGAGTTGTGGTGGAAGCTAAAACTGAATTAAAATTTTAAAGCATTGTGAAAGCGGTGGCAATAGCATTTAATATGAAACAGTAGTTCCAGTTTAATCTTAGTAATTAAAAGCTTGTACGTTGTCATATTCTGCCTAACAGGGCCAGAATTGTTTTGTTCAAGATAGATCTAAAACTCCCTTAAAATAATTAAAATGCAAATGACAATAAAAACCTAACAGTGTTTGATTAAGGTAACTCAAACTAGCGATATTGATGTTGCAACACTTGTAATATTAAACCTTTTATGAGAACTGGGAATCACACCTGATGTGTTCATAAAAGGAAGTCCCACATAAATCTGGTCCTGTGTATGCAGAATATGGCCTGCCCTCAACGTCTCGATCCTTTTCATTGCAGCAGAACTGCTGATGATTTCTAAGCTTGCCTCAAATTAAGATACAGTACTACATGCGGTTGTTTACCTAAAGGTGTTTTCCTGCAGTTCAGGGACTTTTCCTAGAAGACCAACTAATTGAGGGGCATGACAGCATTGGACAAAAGTTTAAAGTGCCTATTTCAGAAATACACAAGATGGTGTTCCTTGTGGCTTTAGTATGTGGCTAAACTTTTTTAAATTAAATATGTAAATTATCTACTGATATTTGCTGTGAATTCTACAAGCCAGGTTCCAGTTTCAGTTAGTCCAACCTGAATTTTATGCATTGGCACAGTCCTAGTAATTGTCAAAATTTCCTGCTAAATCTAAAGCCTTCTTTCTTCAACCACACTAGCTACCACAGTAGCAGCACTGGAGAGAAACACCTTTCTAGTACTTCTGTTTTTGTTTTCCATGTCCAATGTCCTTTTGTCTTGTTGGATAGTCAAGTTAAGTGCTTTTGCAGATACTGTGCCTTTATTGTGTTCATGGAATATATCATGTGTAGTTGAAGCAAGAAAACATCTCCTTACAGTGAGGATGTTCTCTCTTTATGGATGTTTGTATTGACTTGGTTGGGAAGAAGAGCTTTGTTATTATTGCAGCTGTTGTTAGCTGTGGGTGTTGGGAATCTGAGTGAAAATGCATTTGTGTCACATCCTCAGAACGTGTACTGGTAGTTGCAGTACTTTCTTAGTTGCACTAAGAAAGGAAGGTTGGAAATGTAACCCAGATTCATTTGAACTTACTGCCGGAACTCGGCGTTCTAGGCTGTGAGACACTTAGCGCATTCATTCAGAACCAGAGCGAAATCCGATATGCTCTTGGGAAGGAAATCCTCCTGTAGGTGTTGCACAAATGCACAGTTGGGATTGTTAGTCTCCATGGAATTTCAGTGTCCACATGGTGCTTCTATCACAGCTCATTGAAAGTGATCTTCCTTCTCTTCAAAGGGGGAATTGCAGCAGGAAGCAGTGGAAAAGGAAGAGGAGCTAAGCGTAAACAGCAGGATGGAGGGACCACAGGGACCACCAAGAAGGCTCGGAGGTGGGCAGAGGACCCTCACCCCCATTCACCACTGTTAGAGTATTGTTTGGTGCTGGCAACGTCCACCAGAGGGAAAAGAGCCATACTTCTAATAGATCACATGTCTGAGGTTAAAAGCCTGTCTGTTTTTCTCCAATATTGAAGGGGTAAAATAACCCCAGGCTAGGTATCCTGATTTACAAACTTGGTACTATACAAGCCAGCCCCGGCAGCACTGTGTTGACTTCCCTGGGGAGTAAGGTTCCAGTAACCTTGACAAAGACCAGATGGGGGAGAGGGAGTGAAACCAGTTATGAACGCTGGCTTCCATATGCCTCTTCCTTTCACTTTGTTCGATGCTACGACAAAATCCAGGTCATCTCTCATTTAGACAACAGCTAGTAAGTGCTTATATTGCTCAGTTTCTGTTTATTAGTTTATAATAGTAAGTACAGTAAAGGAAATTGCCTTCATTCGTCTTCTCCCTTCCCTATGACGTACTTACTGAGTCACTGTCATAGATACAGGTAACCGGAACGGACTAAAGTGATTGAACCAGATCTATTTTACCAAATAGAGACTCTTTTTCATTGCTCTGTTTTGCCTGCAGAGGGCAGGACGATCTGTTTGAGTAATAAAACGCATTTGTGAAGTTGCTTGTGTTCTAGCTGAAGTAAATCACAGGCCTTTCTTACAGAATTGAAGGCAGTTGAGCTAGAGGGGTTTTAGTTTCTTGATTTTATTTTTTCCTTTCTGCAGTGACCCTTTGTTTTCTGCTCAGCGCCTCCCCCCTCATGGCTACCCCTTGGAACACCCGTTTAACAAAGATGGCTATCGGTATATTCTAGCTGAGCCTGATCCCCACGCCCCTGACCCTGAGAAGCTTGAACTTGACTGCTGGGCAGGAAAACCTATTCCTGGAGACCTCTACAGAGCCTGCTTGTATGAACGGGTTTTGTTAGCCCTGCATGATCGAGGTATGTAAGATACTAATGTTCGTGTTGCACCCAGAATTACCCTAAACTACTGTCGTCAGCTTTGTACAATCTAAGGTTAGATACATGTGTCAGTCTAACTCCTCCACACCCCATTCCTAGACTCAGCAGAATGTGCAAGAAGTAACTTCATTTTTTCTTATGTAGCCATTATATACACACATACACATACATGCATATACATGTATATGGTTTACTAAAACTTTGTTTTGAACTAATTTTAAATGTACAGTAAAGTTGCAAAAATAGTGGTTTCCATATATCCCTCATCAACCTTCTTCTGATGATAATGTCTTATATAACCAAAGTATAGTAATCAAAACCATAAAATTAACATTGGTAAATGCTATTAATGGAACTAAAGACTTTATTTAAATTTCACTAATGCCTCTTTTCTAGGCTCTCACATTACATTTAGTTATTTCTACTTAGTCTGTTGCAATCTTCACCAGGTCCTCGGTATTTGCTGGTTTTTCATGGCCCTAACACTTTTTAAGTGTATTAATCAGTTATTTTGCCCAATATTTCCCAGTGAGGGCTTGTCTTTTTCTCACAATTAAACTGAAATTATGCTTTTGGATAGGGGGAACACTTCAGAAATGGGTCCTCATTGCATCATCTCATGGAGTTCATGATGTCACTGTGTCTGCTGATTGCTTCTGTTGCCCATAATCATTTGGTTAAGGTGGTTTGTGTTGGCTTTCTCTACTGTCTTTGCCTTTGTACTTAACAAATATCTTGGGGAAAGATACTTTGAGGCTATGCAAATAACTTGTTTCTTTTTTTTTTTTAAGATTTTATTTGTTAATCTTTAGAGGGCAAGGAAAGGAGAGAGGGAGAGAAACATCAGTGTATGGTTGCCTTCGTGGGTCCCCTGCTGGGGACTGGCCTGCAGGGAACCGGCCTGCAACCCAGGCATGTGCCCTGACTGGGAATCGAACCGCGGTTGTCTGGTTCACAGGCCCGCACTCAATCCACTGAGCTACACCAGCCAGGGCTCTTGATGATTTTTTTTCCTCCATTTATTATTAAATTGATTTATAGCAGTGTGGACTCATAGATAGTCATTTTATTCTGTGGAGTTACTTTGGTATACTGTATTTTGTTGGTCAAATTATTCCAGATATGGCCATTAGAAAATTCTTGAGGTTCCTGTGTCATTTTTTCTCGATGTGTCATTTTTTTTTTAAAGTATTTCCTTACTTTCTGGTATTACAAGATGTTCCTGGTTCACCTGGTATTTTCCGTGCCCCAGGCCAAGTGTCAGATACTTCTCCAAGGAGCCGTGGCTCCTTCGATTGGAGAATGGTATTTAGAAATTTTATTTTCTAAGACTGTTACTAGGTGTCACTTCTAGATGCTCAGGAGGCAGAAGGAAGAAATGTGTGTATGTCCACTGACACGTATGTACATGGCTACACGGAGTTTACATTGTGTGGATTCCACACACCACAGGTTGTTCCACCCATCCACTTTACTTCTTTGTGACTTCCTTTTTCAACAGTGAGAAACCTGACTCTAAATCTCTACAACATATTTACTTGTTTGTTCATTTCTAACATGCGTATGAAGTAGTTTCAGAATGGCTGACCCCTGTGAGAAACGTTCACGAACTAGATTGTAACATTTATGTGCAGCTCCTTATTTCCTTGGCCTTGCAGTGTCCCATTAAGACACTGTTACCCTGGATTAGTTCCTTTCTTCCCCACCTCCTTCATTAGGGTTCTGTTTTCTGTTTGTAACACAGGTTCATTTGTTAGTGTTTGTTTGGGTTCTCCTGCGTTGTGGGGGTGTGTGAGGGGGGCGAATGTGAAACATTACTGTGGTTCTGGGGGTTCAATTTGTACAGAAAGGTTTACTCGGTATCACTACCTCCTCCACATCACCCTCTCCACTCCCTTCTTTCCCCTTTTGCCACCATTTTTCTCACCCATCCTTTATAGATAACCATTTTCATTCGTTTCTGGTTTGTCCTCTCTGTATTTCTTCTGCACAAATGAGCAGAGACGTGTATATTTCCTTTTATCTCCTTTTTTTTCATACATTCAGGGCAGCACACTATAGATGCCCTTCTGTGTTTTGCTTCAGACAGTTACTCTAGATCAGTTACCTCCAAGACATCATCCTTATTACTTTCCTTTTTAACTTTACGAAGCCCCACTATGTAGATGTACATAGTTTTTCAGCTACTCTACAAAGGGGCATTTAGAGTGTTTTTCAGTGTCTTTGCAATCACAGGGAGGCAGTGACTAATCAAGAGTGAATGCATTTTTGTACTGTTGGTGGTATATTTTCAAGGTAGACGTCTACAAGTGGAATTGCTGCATGCAAAGGTAAGTACGTGCGTAGTTTGGTGAGATATTGCTGCCCAGTTTCCCTTCAGAAGGGTGGCTCACTGGCATTTCCACCAGCAGCGTAGAGTGTTTGCTTTCCCATAGCCTCACAAATAGAATGTGTCGTCTGATATTTTAATTTTGGCTGGTCTGATGGGTGAGAAATGGTATGTGTGCTGTTTCAATTTGTGTTTCCTTGAGTTTGAACATTTCCTCAATGTATGAGTCCTTATCTCATGAAGTACCTGATTTTTTCCCCATTTTTTATTGGGATCTTGGGCCTTTGTTCCTGTGTATATTGGGGATATTAGCCCTCTGTCCGTGCTATGGGTCGTAAACATTTTCTTCCAGTGTGTCGGTTGTCTGTGACTTTGTTTATGACTTTTTTGTCATGCAGAACTCTTTAATAGATAGTAGCGTTTTTATTCACTTAACAAATACCATTCATTCTTTAGTAGAATATGAAAGTGAATTTAAATTAATTGCTTTTTAAAAAGATTTTAATTATTTATTTTTAGAGAGAGAGGAAGGGAGGGAGACAGAGAAGGAGGGAAACACTGATGTGGGAGAGATACATTAATCCGTTGCCTCTCTCACGCTCCCAACTGGAGACCTGGCCCACAACCCAGGCATGTGCCCTGACTGGGAATCGAACCAGAGACCTTTCAGTCTGCAGGCCGGCACTCAGTCCACTGAGCCACACCAGCCAGGGCTAAATTAATTGCTTTTAGAGGAGTATACTTCATTAATTTTTATTGTTGTCGTAGACTATCAATGCAAATTCCAGATAGCGTATTCCTTTACCCATAAATACCTTGGTATTTATTTTTAACAGGGGTTTTTAAAAAAGATTTTATATACTCATATTTATAGAGAGGAAAAGGGGGGGAAAAAGAGAAATTGATGTGTGAGAGAAACATGAACGGGCTGCCTCCTGCATGTACTGTAATCAGGAACCAGGCCCACAGCCCAGGCTTGTGGCCTGACTGGGAAACGAACCAGCGGCCTTTTGCTTTGTGGGATGATGCCCAGCAGCTGCGCCACACCGGTCAGGAAGGGCAAACCAGGGCTTTAAAAACATGACCACTGTGTCTTTATCATACCTAAGACAAATAATAAGTCCTTAATTACCTAATACCTCATCCAGATTCATGTTTCCATGGTTGTTTAAAAACATGCCTTTTATTCTTTACTAGAATTGGATCTAAACAAGTTCACGTATTTATTACATTTGGAAGGCCATTTCTTGATTTAATGCTACAAACTGTAACCCTTGTATTGGTTGCTAGTCATTTGGAGGTGAAATATTGCAGTCCTGTGGTGTAAAGTCCATTATGTGTGGATTTGTTTGGCATATGTCACTGACAACATACTTTGATAGTAGAGAAGGGTCAAATAATTGGCTTCTGGCTTTAAAAAGCGAGACTTGTCTTGCTTCACTCTCCATCATAGCTATAATCCTGGAGGCAGGGGGAGTGAAACACTGGCCTAGTGCTCACTTGTTAGTGCTTGGTGCTTGGGGGTCGCAGCGGCTGCCCGCTGTTGATGCTGAGCCTTGTACAAGGTAGGTCAGTCTGTATCATGTCTTTTAAACTTTATTTTGAAATAACCTCAGACTTACAAAAAAAGTTGTAAGAACAGAACAAAACGTTTCTCTCTTTTTAAAAAATTTATTGATTTGGGGGGCAGGGGAAGAGAAACATTGGTTTGTTGTATTACTTATTTATGTATTCACGGGTTGATTCTTGTATGTGCCCTGACCAGGGATCAAACCCGCAACCTTAATATATTGGGATGACGCTTTCATCAGGGCCCCAAACTTCTTCTCTCTGAACCATTTGAGAGTAAGTTGCTATGATGCTCTCTCATCTCTGAGAACTGTGTTCTCTATTTCTTAACAACAAGGACGTTTTCCTAATGCTGCGTAACCAATTACTGTAAAACTTAGCGTTTGAAACTACAAATGTGTAGTATCTCCCATGGTTTCTGAGAGTCAGGAATCAGGAGCAGCTTGGCTGTGTGATCTGTTTCAGAAAAACTCAGGAGGGGCAGTCAGGCTGTAGCCGGGCTGCCATCTCGGGGAGACTCGATGGGGCTGGAGGACCTGTTTCCAAGCTGGCTCACTCACGTGGCCGTGACAGGGTGCCCTCAGACCCTCGCCGTGTGGGCCTCTCCATAGACTGCTTGTTTGTCCTCGTCCATGGCAGCTTCTAGAGCAAGTGACCCGAGAGAGAGTAATGAAGTGTTTAAGCACCTTTTGTGACCGATCTTTTTCATTGGATAGTCACTTCCACTGTATTTTGTTAGAAGTGATTCACTAAGTTTAACCCACTTAAGTGGAGGGAATTTAGGCTCCACCTCCTGAAAGGAAGAACATCAAAGAATTAGTGGGTATTTTTAGCCCTGGCTTGATGTGGCTCAGTGGCTTGGGTTCACTGGTTCAGTTTTAACAGTTGTCAAGATTTTGCCATGTTTGCTTTATTGGTTCCTTTCTTTTCTTTTTTTAAAAGATTTTATTTATTTATTTTTAGAGAGGAAGGGAGGGAGAAAGAGAAGGAGAGAGAAATATCTGTATGGCTGCCTCTGGTACGCCCCATATGGGGGACCTGGTCTGCAACCCAAGGCATATGCCCTAGACTGGGAATCAAACCAGTGGCCCTTTGGTTCCCAGACCGGTGCTCAATCCACTGAGCCACACCAGCCAGGGCTGTTCCTTTATTTCTATGTCTCTCTTTTTTCTGAATTATTAAGAAGTAAATCTCTATGTACTCTAAAAAATAAGCATTTCTAAGACGTATGCTAAATACTTCTATATAATGCTATTATCGCACTTAACAAATAATTTCTTGCTATTTTGTGACTTCCATTCATAATCAGATTTTCTTGATTTTTCTCAAATACCTTGTTATCTCTCCACACAATACTTATGAATTACAAAGGGGAAATAGTAACCATGTAGTGGGGAAACCTGGGAGGCATCACCTTGCCCAAGCAGTCCGAGTTTAACACCACTGCTCTGACATCATGTGCTTCCTTCTGTGACGCTCTGAGGCATAGCATTACCTCAGGGGCATTCCTGACAAAAGGCGTAGCCTGGACTTAAATAGGGAGAAACAGCCAACAGACCAAAGTGAGGGATAGTGTACAAAGTGAAGCATCACTGTCATGAAAGGCTTGAGAAACTGCCCCAGATTTGAAAGACATCGAGAAGATATGACAACTGAATGAATTGTGGGATCTTGGAATATTTCCAGGACCAGAAAAAGGATATTACATTGATAATTGGCATGTTTTCAAGACCTGTTGGTTAATTAGTAGTATTGTATTAATGTTTTCTGGTTTTAATAGTTACATTGTGGTCACAGATGGTCTTAACATCTGGGGAAGCTGAGTGAGGACTCTTTACTCTTTGAAAATATGAAAAAAGTTTCAAAGTCAAAAGTTACATCTTAAAGGATGGTTTATTCAAATCAGGATCCAAGCACATTATAATTGGTTTATTATATTTTAGAGAATAAATGGTACAGCTCATTTTAATGTGTCCTCTTAAATAAAATCACATGTAACAAAACTGGATTGATTACCTAATAGCTTTCTTCCTTTTTTTCCCCTCTCTCTGTCATCTTTACCTCATGTTGAGATTTGAAAGTCCTGAACTAATATTTCCAGTTCCCGACCTGCTGTTGCTGATCTCTCATTGTGTTTCACTGGAGTATAAGGGACCCTGGTTTTGTGGCAGTTGTCTCCAAGTATCTCAGATAGGTTGCAGACATTTGCTTTTCTCTCCATTTCTGCAGCTCCCCAGCTGAAGATCTCTGATGACCGGTTGACTGTGGTCGGAGAGAAAGGCTACTCTATGGTGCGGGCTTCTCACGGGGTGCGGAAAGGTGCCTGGTACTTTGAAATCACGGTGGATGAGATGCCACCAGACACTGCTGCTAGACTGGGTTGGTCTCAGCCCTTAGGTAAGCTGGGGCTCGAGTATGGACGTTGAATCTAGTATAGAGGTGTAAGGCTGTATGACTAGGTTTTACTACTTTGGTACCTATCGAGTTGTAGGCATAAAACTCAATTCCTGGGCGTTTAAGTAGTTTGAAATTCTTGGAATATTTTTCTAATTCTTTGTCAGAAGTAGTTTGTTAGAAATTTTACAAAATCGACCACTCCCCTCCCCCTAAAAAAGAGTAAGAATTTTTTTCTTTAGCAAACCAGAGTTAAGTTGCAGGCCTCTGACTTCCTGCATGTCTTTTTATTGCGACAGGTAACCTTCAAGCTCCCTTAGGTTATGATAAATTTAGCTATTCTTGGCGGAGCAAAAAGGGTACCAAGTTCCATCAGTCCATTGGCAAACACTACTCTTCTGGCTACGGACAGGGAGATGTCCTGGGATTCTATATCAGTCTTCCTGAAGACACGGAGACGGCCAAGTCACTGCCCGACACCTACAAAGATAAAGTAAGTTTGTCCCCCTGCGGTGTTCCTGGGTTCGAAGGCCTGGGGCAGCCAGTGCCTGCAGCTGCGGCCACTTGTGATGCTGACCTACTCTTCACATGTTTTTCAACATTTCGTCGTGAAAATTTCCAGACATAACAAAGTTGAAAGAATTTAAAAGTCAGTGTCTGAGTACCCATCACCTAAATTCTATTAGTATGTTATCCGTTTATCCTCCACTCGCTCATCTGTCTATTCATCTTTTTTTAAAGTCCTTCAGAGAATATTGCAGACATCAGTACACTCCCCCACCAAGTACTTCAGATGCACATCGTCAGCTGGAGTTCAACCTTTGTTTAGTCTTTTTCTTTTGACGTAAAACTTAGGTAAAATGAAATACACAAATTTTCATTCACTCAGTTTTAAATTTAACCCAAACCCCTCTTGGGACAGATTCTGTTCTCATGACAGGAAGTTCCCTGACGCCCCTTCCCAGTCGGGCCCCTGTTCCACACCGGTAATGGCAACTCCAGTTTAGAATTTTTCCCCATTATAATTCTGTTCCGTAGGTTTTACTCGATCTTATATAAACAGAATTGTGCAGTGTGTTGTCCTATGTTGGGATTTTATCATTTGGCTTAATGCTTTTGAGATTCATGCATGTTGTTGTATGTACCTCTGGTTTGCTTTTCACTGCAGAGTAAAAAACCACTGTGTGAATATGCCACAGTCTGCTTATCTGTTTTCCTGGGTTTTTCCAGCTTTATTGAAAAATAACTAACATGTATAACATCCATTTTCCTGTTAATGGACACTTGAGCTCTTTCAAGTTTGGGGCTGTGAACATTCTTGAACAAATCTCTTTGTAAACACGTTTTCATTTCTTTTGAGTCTGTGCCTAGAAATGGAACTACTGGGTCATCGGGTAGTTACGTGTATATTTCATGAGAAATCAGTCGCGGGACTCTTAACATTCCCACCAACCATATCTGAGAGTTTTAGTTACTCCAATGTTGTGGTGAGAGTGTATATGTACTTATACATATATATTTCCTCACAAATCTTATTAGTCAAGGCCTTTTTAAAAAATGTTTAACACAGATGTGCCATCTGGTACTTTTTAAGAAGCACATAGTTCAAAATGTAGCGAAGCCAGCTCGCAAAGATTTTAAATTTCTGTTGCAGAGCACATGACTCAGTGCTATTTGTGGATGTTCCGGATGCCTCAGTAAAGCCCTTTTCCCCTTTTTCTTTTGGTTTTCAAGGCTTTGATAAAGTTCAAGAGTTATTTGTATTTTGAGGAAAAAGACTTTGTGGATAAAGCAGAGAAGAGCCTAAAGCAGACTCCCAATAGTGAGGTGAGTCACGGTCCCAAAGTGTCAGAACTAGAAGACCTTGAAGACTGAGACCAACCCCCTAATTATAAGTGGGGGAGTGGGCTAGCAGAGCAAGCTCACGCTCTGCTGCTTCTGTTCTTTCCGGGATGCCTCACTACTGCCGTGAGAGGGATGACCAGGGTTCTTTAGAAACACTGTAGAAAGGTGAAAACAACGATTTAAGGAGGACGTCTGCCCTGGCTGATGTAGCTCAGTAGATTGAGCACGGGCCTGGAAACCAAAGGATCGAGGTTCGATTCTCAGTCAGGGCACATGCCTGGGTTGCAGGCCAGTTCCCAGCAGGGGATATACACAAGAGGCAACCATACACTGATATTTCTGTCCGTCTCTCCTTCCCTTACCCTCTAAAAATAAGTAAATAAGTAATCTTTAACAAAAAAGACCTACACGCAATTGAGGAAGCAAGTCAGAGATGTATGTTCTTTATTTTTAAACATTTTTAAATTTTTTATTTATTTATTCTTAGAGGGGAAGAGAGAGAGAGAGAGGGAGAGAAACATCAGTGTGTGAGAGAACCATTGACGGGTTGCCTCTCACACATGCCCTGACTAGGTACCAGACCCATAACCCAGGCATGTTCCCTGACTGGGAATCGAACCAGCCACCTTTCACTTTGCAGGATGACACTCAGCCAACTGAGCCACACCTGTGGCCTCTACCAGTCCGGGTAGAGATGTGCACTCTGTGTCAGAGGAGGTGTGGAGTACAGAGGCAGGAACACTGCAGTAGGGGAGGAGAGAGCCTTGCTGTGTAACCTGGGAGCAGCTGGAATGGCTCATTCAGGGTCCTCCGACGGGGGTGTCCAACCTTTTGGCGTCTCCAGGACACACTGGAAGAAGAAGAGTTGTCTTGGGCCACATGTTAATATATAAACCCTAATGAAAACTGATGAGCAAACGAAGGTGTGAAGTAAATTTATGATTTTTGTGTTGGGCCACAAGCATAGCCACCCTGGGCCGTGGGTCGGACACCCCTGCTAGAACTTTCTCTACTTCCCTGACCCAGAATTGTTGGAACATGTCTGCCCAAGGTCAGCACAGTCAGAGAAGGGCCAACACATCTTGAACCAGCCACAGGACCAAAAACACAAGGGGAAGGCAAAGAAGAAAGTCCTGCACTGGAAATATTTTTCCATAAAATGCTGTGAAGCCACCTGAGTCAATAATAGAAACTAATGAGGGGAAGTTTTGAAAAACGAAGGTTCCAGTTGAAAAAATTGTGAGGGGAACCAGGTAATAGCTCCAAGGGTGATATAGCCAGAAAATACCGCAAGTCCTCAAATAACGTCGTTTTGTAGTAACATTGGTAGGAACTTAACTGGTTTCGAAATGTGTTTTGCTGCAGTTCCAAGAACCTATTGATTATGTTAAATAACAAGTTATTGTACAGCCAAGGAGAATATCACTCTTGCTGGGAAGAAGACACAGAGAAAGGTAGTTACTTCAGAAAAAGGAACTTTTCTGAAGTCCAAATAAGTAATGATTAAGAGAGAATATTTAGAATAGTTTGGGGAGATAAAGGACAAAGAAAATGAGGATTCAGAGACTGGCAGAATATCCTGAAAGATTTTCAAAGTAGAATGCAAGGGAAGGATAAGCTTACAAATAAAAATAAGCTTAATCGGGTATTGGTAGAAAAACAAAATAGTTTTTAGACACTTTTTTGTAAATTTACTGAGTTAAGAGAGAAACTCTCAAATTGTTGTTTCACTTATTTATGCATCATTGGTTGATTCTTATATGTGCCCTGACTGGGGATCAAACCCAGGACCTTGGCATATCAGGACAGTGCTCTAAGCAGCTGAGCTACCCAGCCAGGGCCCAGATTACTTTTTATAAATACAATATAATGAATAATAGGAAGTCTAACTGGTAGAAGTAGCATTGGAACATAGAAAAGAAACCTGAAGACCACCTAGAATGGTGCCCGTAAGCAGGCCAGAGACCCTGGTCGCGTGAGATGTCACTCCAGACGCCATGTGCCACCCTTAGAACACAGTGTGGTGGCAGCACTTCCGGAGGCTCTCCAAGTCAGTTCTTCCTCAGGTTGTTTGTGTTTAAATTCTAAAGTAAAACCGTGGTTTTTGTTTCAGATAATATTTTATAAAAATGGTGTCAATCAGGGCGTGGCCTACAAAGACATTTTCGAGGGCGTTTACTTCCCAGCCATCTCGCTGTACAAGAGCTGCACGGTAAGTGTTCTCTGCCCCTCCCACGATCCAGTTCTAGAAAGAAATGTGAACAGCCTCAGGGAGACAGGAGTGGCGTCCGGCTGTTCCTGTTTGTTCCAAAGTCAGTTGGGTGTTTTAGGAAGTGTTTGCTTGGATGGTGCAGTTAGTGTGCCCCATGCTTGTTCTGTGAACGCACTGTGTGGTCATGGCCACGGTGGAGGCTGTAAAGTATGTGCCTGTGTAAATGTGGTGTTACATAGGTCATGATAACCTACTAACCCACTACCATTAGCTTGTAACTGGTGTGAGTGTGAGAGAGAGAGAGATTGAGACTCAGTGTAAAGGGGACTATCATTAGAGCCTGTTAGTGTGTAGGTTTTTTTTAAGTCACTTGAAAAGGTAATGCCTGGAAGTTTCCATGTATTTTTAGTCTGTTGGTTAGGCTCCATGGAAGTAAAATAAAAAAATCAGTTATGAAAAGAAATCAATATGTCTATTTACCTAAGGTGTTGATCACTTTCAGCAATATCAATATATGTGTCGTTGTTCCAGTTATACCCTGAATGACACTGCTACCTTTAAAGAAAATACTTTCCCATGTCCCATTAGCTTTTTCACTATATATTTATTTTTTGTGTCTGCTCAAATTACCCCAGGTTTCCATTAACTTTGGACCATGCTTCAAGTATCCTCCAAAGGACCTCACCTACCGCCCTGTGAGTAGCGTTAAAAATGCCCGCGTGCATCCCCAGCATCTTTGTTACTTCCCGCTGTAGTCGTCCTGATCACCTCCTTTCTGTTTCTCGTTCCCCCCGCAGATGAGCGACATGGGCTGGGGTGCTGTCGTGGAGCACACGCTGGCTGATGTCTTATATCACGTGGAGACAGAAGTGGATGGCAGGCGGAGTCCCCCGTGGGAACCCTGACCGGGTTCCCCTTTCTTTGCAGACGTGGACTTTCTGGGGTGTAACGGTGGGTTTTTTCCTTGTTGTTCAACTGTCGCGAATGTTATCCCAAAGATACTGCAGCACGTAGCCTCCGCTGTTAGCAAGTGAGAAGGCCGGTGGCTCCGGGAGAGGTCCCCTGCCCCTCAGCTCTCCCCGCTTCTGGTGACTGCTCTCCGTGTGCCATACGCCAATGCCTGCTGACCCTGCCACCCTGTGAGCTCCCTGCGAAACTGGTGCTGTGCCATGTACCCCACCACTGGGGCTTGTTATCTGACTGTATTTTCTAAGGAGTGGATGGTACTGTCCAAGTGGCTAACTTATTTAAGACTTGTTTTCCCCCTGTGGGCATTGACTGTGTCCCCCCTGGTTTCCAAGGAAGTGGTAGGCCTGTTTCTGAGACTAGCTGAAGTCAATGGTCGTACATTCCAGAACCAATCTTAAGAGCTTTTCCTTTGGGTGTGGGTTCGTTTTTGTTACTAGTTTTGAAATACGCTTTTGAACACTGGGGTCTCTGAAACTACCACATCTCTAGAACTATAATTGTGAAAGGAACTCGCTTGCAGCTTTAACAATTAGAAACTCTTCCCAAATAAAACTTGTGATCAAATGTGGTCATTTGCTTCCCTTTAAATTTGGGGTCCTCCTGGTGACTGTCAGAAACGTGGGCCGTCTGCCGAAGGGTAACCTGCCCTGGGGGAAAGAGCCTCTGACTTGCACCTCACTCCTCTCCTATTGCCTCCCTTCTGACCGGCCGCCTCGGCCGCCCTCTTTATTCTGTGAAAGTCGGTCTCTCGAGAGGTGAAGGAGAATAAAGGGTTAATGGTCTGCCTCCAGTGTTTCTCCCTGAACGTGTGTATTACTTACTGTGTACAGGTGGTTTTCCTGCTTTGCATATAGTCCTTAGTGTGGCTGATGATTAAAACTGGTCTGTGAGAGTGAGCCTTTCCTTGGGGCCCCTTTGTGGCTTCTCTGTCCCTTTTTTACAAGTTACTGGCAATGCAGCCCTCCCAGGACGGGCCCAAAGACTCTCCCACATACAAATTTCTGCCTGTATTTTAATAGGTAGAGTAGTTCACCATGAGGTAGGTAACATGTTGCCAAGAATCACCATATATTATTCCTGTTAAAGAAATTTCCAAAATTTCAAGCGACTGTTCGGATCCTAACACGATAACTTTGATTAGTTTTGGCCATTCCACGTCTCTTAACAGGAGACCTGAGTCAGGATCATCTTAGGCTGGAGCCTTAGCCTCTTGCCCCTTGGTACTCAAACATTTGTGGCTGGAAAGGGTACACATGGTTATAAAGCTTTTGGATCATCAGTTTAAAGAACTTTTAAGATGAGGGTAGTGTAATTTAGAGAAAGCTGGGGGTAACTTTATGATATAAATCACCACGTATATTGTTGGGAACTGCCCTGCATGGTTTCCGAAACTGTAACCCTACCCCCCACCCCCCTCATGGCTAAGGCTGAGTAAAGGACCTTGGAACCATAAGCTACTAAGGAGACAAAGCTTATCTCCCTGGCAGGGGCACCACCTCTCCCCCCTTTTACTTCACTGTGCTTGGCCCTGGTCAGATGACCGGTTAGTCAAGGATGGGTAAGATTCCTCAAGGGAGGGATGACCTAAGATAGGCACTTGAGAAGGGGCCCTCAGGGAAGGACTTGGGAGGCTATAGAAAAGGAGGGATGGGCCCTCACCCCCGGGCTTTGACATACCCTGAGTCCTCATTCTGTCTGCAAGAAGTCTCCTAGTCTCTTGGCTGCCTGACTTAACCCTGAAACAATGTTGGAGGGCGGTGCAGCCCTGGGCAGGAATGGACTGTTCCCCCGAGGCAATCGGGCCTAAAAAAAAAAAATGCATAAAACCCTGTGAAAACCTGCTTTGCTAAGCATGTCCTCAGTTTTCCAATAAGGGTCTAGCAGGAAATGAGTTTTGTTTCCCAAACTTCTATAGCCCTTAGCTAACTGACCCTGACTCAGAATAAGCCCTCATAGTTCTTCGTATGTTATCTATTATTTGATCATTACTGACAATGATTGATGAGCTTTACCCATATTCCTATGCAAATTGAACCCAATAAAAGCCCATTGAGGAACAGGCTCCTGGCCCTTCTCCTTTGAGAGATTGGCCACATTTCCTCCCCAAGCAGATCCTGTCTCGGTAAACTTATTCTTGTCTGTGGTAGATGGCGGGGTTCTGTGGGCAAAGCTCCTTCACAGTATATAATTGTATAAGTTATAAAATATAAACATAATTACCACATATACAGCTCTTTTTTTAAATGATAAAATTAGTTTCTTGTACATTTGGCTTTCATAAATCAGATAACAGGAGTAATGATTTTATCTGTTATACTTCATATTCAAAATGTGTGTGTGTGTTTTGATAAGGTTCGTTTGAAGGGCTCAAAGAATACCCATTCTCTGTATAGTCCTATATAAAATGGTTTCTGGTGTTGGCCAGTGTGGCTTCCTTGTTTGGAATGACTTTCTGTGACCAAAAGGTGGATATAATTCTAGGTCAGGGCACATACCTGGGTTGCAGGTATGTGCAACCCTAGGGAACCTATGAGAAGCAACTGGTAGATGTTTCTCTCCCTCTCTCTAAAAGCAATGAAACAATGTCCTCAGATGAGGTAAATAAATTAAAAAATTGTTTTTGAAAGCAGATCATCACAACTTATTTTATTCCAATATAAAGTTAAACAAGTGGGAGAATATCTCCACAGTCATCTCAAAGATGTGGTTGTGTAGTTTCGAGAATGTAAATTACAATCAAACTCAAAACTGTGTTGTGTGTTGAAAGCCCATTTCTTTATTATCATCCTGTTTTCTTTTGAAACTAGAGTGTATATTGCTCTACACATCTTTAAACACATAATCAGTTTCTCCTCGCTGGGAATAGATGATAATTCTGTTCTAGAAATACTTCTTCAATTACACTCTCACACTCTGAAGCTCCTGGACAGATAAGCCATAATTTCATCTATGCCAAAAATAGATTAAGAAACAATCAGAATAAATAACAATAAATATCTCTACCTGTAAAATTTCAGTGCCTCAATAAATACCAGAATGTCTGCTGCTGCTAACTTGTTGAATAAATAAAATAGAGCTCTATTTCCAAATGGTATACATCAACAATCTATTAGCACTAGAATGGAAAAGCTTCAAGTGGTACACATTTTAGCAAATTAATCCCATCCCAATTTATATTTTTAAAACGTAAATTCTCTAAATCTTGGAAAGGGAATTTGCTATCACCAGAGTACCCCTTGTTCCAACCATCTGTCACAGCAGTAAAACATTGACCTAGAGCAGAGAGACTGGCGGGCCTCAGGCAGGCTGAGAGCTGGTGTGATAAACAGACTGAAGTACAGAGTCAGTTGCCTTGTTAGATTTAAACAGTCACTGGTGGGAAAACAGTTTGTTTTTAACTTTATCTTAGTAATATTGTTCATTCATTGGTATTGGCACTATTCTTTTTATTGAATTTATTAGGCAGATATTGGTTAATAAAATGATATAGGTTTCAGGTGTACAATTCTATAAAATCTGTATATGGTATAGTATGTTCACCACCCCAAGTTACACTCTCCTTTCTTATAATTAACTAAATAAAAATCCTCAGGCATAATCTTCATCATACAATACCCATTAATCAGCTACCAGTTACAGAATTCTTAAAGTGTAGGCTTGTGCCTAGCATGGAAATTAAGTTTTTGTGAAAGGTTCTGATAACAAATTCTAAATAATTAAATGACATAAGTCCCCAGTAGTTTTTACTTTTAACGAGCTTGGGGAATTTAAATTTAATTAAGATTTTTTGTCTAGGATTCAAAGCTTTAGTATGAAGTTGCAGTTTAATGAAAGATTTCTTCAGAGTAGAACTTTAAAACAGGTACAGACCGAAGTTCTTGTATCTGTCATGATTCTTTATTCTGACTAGTGCTCATGGAAGAAGTAAGGGAACCAGCCTAACGGTTCTGTTTTCTTTCATCGGGAAGACTTGAACTAGGTCTCTGGAAAGCCCCTGCTGGGCAGTAGCCTGCACTTTGGTGCAGCTCTCTGTGTACTTGGTGGAGGGGCAGAGAGTTGCTGGAGCCCCTGCTGTAAGACCCTGCTATGCCCACACCCACCACCTGCAGGGAGAGGAGCTCTCAAGCCCATGAAGCATGAGGGTCCCAATCCTTGTATTTAGCATCCTCTCTGCACCTTCTCTCGGCTACTAGCATTTTGAGATGTTTTTAGGTAGACATGTAAAGGCCCAGAGAAAAGTTTTACAGATATTTGGGAACCTTGACCTTCATTTCACAGCTAAGTGGTGAATGAAGTTAGAAGGCTCATCTTTGTATAAAAGCCCCATCCCTATTTTCTTGGTGCTAAAATTGGACCAATCTGAGTCCTACTATCACAATGTAAATACATTGCCACCCCAACCCACTGTCCCCAGATGAAGATCTCAAGCAGCCTTGTAGGCTTCTGGGAGGGATTTTCCTGATGAGCATGCAAGACAGTGCAGCTAGAACAGCTGGAAGCAGCAGGCTGGTCTTCAACACCTGGCTTCAGGAGGACTGGACTCCAGGTGCTTGCGCAGGTGGTTGGCAAAGTCTATCTGGGTCTGCGATAGGACCTGATTGATGATAGTCTTTGGCAGCCATCCCTAGAGTAGAAGACAGAAGGATTTGGCCATCTTGTGGGCTGTATTCCACTCTAGACCTCTGGACCCTATCACAAACGTTATAGGTTGGTATGGTCTTGGTCTTCCAGTTCTGCAGTCAGCCAGGGTCAAGGGCTGGAGGAGTCCTTTGCGGTTCTGCCTGCCACTGTGAAAGTGCCAGAAGCACAGGATTTGCCCTCAGGACAAATTTCAGACCTGTCTCCAGCTGTGTGACCCTGAGCTAGTTAGCACACCTTTCTGGGCCCAAGTTTCCTTTTTTTCTAAGATAACTATAGATTTGAAATTTCATGTGAGAAGGTAAGAGGGACCCATTGCAGGCTGTTGAGATGTGGAGTATCAAGCCATTACTCAAATCTCTTCCCTCGTCAACTGTCTATGAGTCTCTCGAAATGGAAGGACTTTTCCTATTCTGTGTGGGAAGATGTGGGAGGGGTAGAACCTGTTGTTCTCTCCCCAGCTGCCCCAGTGTGCCGCCTCCCATGCCCCTCACCTTCAGGTCAATGCTGAGCAGCCAGGTGAGTTTGGTCTTTGAGGGACTCCCAGTCAGGGGACGGAGTACCATGCAGGTGGGACCGTGTTCAGCTCTGGCGATGGAAGAGAAACCAAGTCAGGAGGACAATTCCGAGTTCTCGCATGCGGGCTAGTTCTCCTAACATTTCTCAAGTGCCTTGTCTTTCCAAGCATCAGAGAAGCATCCTTCGCCAAGGGTGATATTTAACAAGTGGCCCGGTTACCAGCTTTTCGGAACAGAGACATTAGAACCGGACCTGGACCCTGGAGGCTTCCTGTGGTGCCTTTTAGTTGCTGGGTAACAGGGACGTTGGAAAGGGTCCAGGGTGGTGGCAGGGCCCCTGAGGAACTCAGCAGCCGAGTTCTAAGAGGTGTGGCTTATATTTTAATCACTAGTACAGCCTTCCCTGACCATACCAGCCACCCCTCAGCCCTACCCCTTGCTTTAGTGAACTGTTAAGGCCCTTAAACTTTCAGAGGGGGCAGGACAAACTGGCTGTATAAGTGAGGCTAATCTTGTCTTCATCCGCTGCTATGGAACACGAGAATCTTCCTCTGTAACGGGAAGCTGGGAGTAGGGACCAAGGATTGCTTTCTTGGAGCCCGCATTCATCGCATGCACGGCCCCCAAGCCTGTGTTCAGAAACGGAGCTTTCGAGCCTGCTGCCGGTATTACCTGATGACGCCTTTCTGCTCCGGCATCTCCCCGAAACGTGTGGCCATGCCAGCCAGCACACAGGTGGAGCCTCGGCGCTTGGCGCAGCGCACACTCACGAAGTCACGGGGCCCCACGAGGTTTCCTGCTGATTCCGCAGCCAACTCGTGAGTGATCACCGTGTCTTTCCCAATCTTCTGCAGGACCTGCCGGGCCCCGGGGAACCGGAATCAACTTAGCCAGGGTTGGGGGTAAGGCACTGCCACCCACAGCTTTGGCCACCTTTCAGACCTGCCTCCCACGGGCCCCTGCCACTCGCCCCCGGGCTCCGCCTCACCTTGATCTCCTTGACATTCGGGTTCCACTCTCCCATCACCTCCATGCGTTCCACAAGCTCTTCATAGAGCCTCTCCACGGGCTGGTCCACCACCACCTCCAGCCGGAATACCTTGCCCACGTCTGGGACCACTTTGCTCAGCACTTTGTCCCCATTGGCCTGTCAGGGAGAGAAAGGAGCCCCGGGATGAAATTAGAGAAGAATATTCCTGCCCCGAGACAGACAATATCAGGCAAGACAGGGAGGGGGCGGGGGTAAGAACTAAGTATCCAGAAATCTGGAACTATAATATTGCTGACTAAGAAGAGTAGGAGATCTTTCCTGCCACGAGCCTTGCACATCTGCTGAAGACCAGAAGTGACCTGTCTGCCCCTGGGCGCCTCTGTCTTGGTGGCGAATATTCATGGGCATCGGCAGGCCCAGCTGAAAAGAACTTTACTTGACTTAAATTTAAAGATCCTGGGAGAGACAGACTTCGAGTGTGAAAAATCTGGTCTACAACCAACTCATTACGCACATAGAATGTTGAGTGGGATCTTCAACACTTTCAGTCCAGTACCTCATTTCACCCGAGGACGTAGGGCCAGAGAAGGGCAGTGATTTGCCCAGAGAGCCTTGGCTAAGAGGAGTGCTGGGCTTCGATCTCAGGTTTCTTGACTCCCAATGTAGTAGTCTATTAACTTGAAGAAGGAGAGGTTTTACTGGAGCTTCAGGCAATGGGCAGCGTGTAAACTTTTTGTGAAGATAAAACCAGTCTCAATAGAGCCGTTGGCCTGGAACATGCGCCTCATTACTGTCTTCCAGTGAAGGTGTAGTGCTCAGGAGCAGAGAGCCCAAAGGCTTGGGCCACTTGTGTTTTGGTACAGCCCAGGTCACCCCTGCAAGCTCGGCCACAAGGAAGGCTGAACCGCACAGACACTGCCTTGGCACTGGAACCTCCAGCCCAGCGTGCAGAACCCCCACTGCATGGTCTCTGCTGCGTAGGTGTACAACGTACTTAGAGGGGAGGTAAGGACACAATGTTTCTCAAACCTGAGTCTCTAGGGTGTCCTTGGTAGCAGAAAGAGTACCTGAGGGTATATGCTCGGGAAAGGAGACTTCTCAAAACTACTTGTTGCCCAGCGACTACTGCATAAGGTAGGAATTCTGAGAAGAGCAGGGGGGCCCCCAACCCCGCTCCAGCTGGCCTTGGGGACGGCAGTGGGATGGTGAGGAACCGCGCATTCGTTCCCACTCTCCCTTACCTTCTGGTCCTCCTTCTTCCAGCCCTCCTGGCTGCTGAGGATGCCCAGGGCCTTTTGCATAGCCTCCTCTCCCTGGTGGATATAGGCCAACTCCTGGTCACTATAGAGAGTGTCTTCCAGTCGAGAACCTGGATACACAGCCAACGAGAGACCGAGCTTCCTACCCGTCCCCTAGCTTCCCACCCGCTTGTGTCCCCTCGATTTCTGGATCTGCTCTTTCAAGAGCCAAGACCAAAGCCATAGGATTCAGCCTGCAGGTCAAGTTAGACACAGCAGATGCAGATGACAAGGGAGAGGGTATGGCTGTCAGGAACTCCATTCCCATTCTCTCAAAGGTCATGGGGGTCGTGGGGACCAGAGCCACATGTACAGTGTTTGTACTCTGGGAGCCCGCTCTCCCTGGCAGAAGCCCACAAGCCTCCCACTCACCGAGTAGAGAGCTCCGACGCCGGACCTGGTTAATCCACTCACTGGGAGTCGGGCCTCCCAGCGCCCTCCGGTTCAGCTCCTGGCCAATGGCCCGCATAGCTTGCTGCCGCAGTCCTGCAGGAAGAGAAGGAAAGAGTTGCCCAGGGGTGGGAAAGTCCCCTCCACCCCTTCAGCTTGTCACAGATGGGGAACTGGCTGGGAGAAGGAAGTGACTTGATCAGGAGCATACAGATTCCTAGTAGAGACCTGAACTAGAACCAGGTCAACTCCCAGTGCTCCTTACGCTGCACCGGGCTGCCTTCGGGCCCAGAAACCTGCCTTCTATCTGGACTGGCCAGGCCTGGCCCTGCCTGGGAACGGCAGCCCATACCAGAGTGTCCTTGAAGGGAAAGAAGCTTTGTTCGAACCAGAAAAACCCACTACAGCAGGAGAATTAAAGACACCTGCCCCCTAGCCAGCAGCTAAGGGTCTAGGCTACCCTGCTGTCTTGTTCTCCTTTCCTTCCCTCCTCCCCCCACCTCCTTCCCTGAGCATGTCTCAGGCTTGCCAGCACTGCTTGTTGCAGTCAAGGCTTGCTTCTACCTCTCCCACTGTGGCTAGGACCTCCCCGGTACCCTTGGGACCAATCCTAGAGGAAGGCCAGGTCAGGAAGAGTCCAAGGAAGATTGCAGCCCCGGAGGGGAGACCAGAAATCACAGAATCTGGAAGGGACATAGGCATCTTCATATTCAGCCTATAGGCTCCGGTGGGAAAATTGAGGTCCAGGAGGGACAAGAGTTGTGCAGATTTGCCCAGTAAGAGGCACGGCTGGGATCAGAACCCGAGTGGCTTGCCCCCAGTAACTTTGCCAGTAACTTTGCCACCGAACCACGTGCCTGAGAACTTCTGGTCGCCATCACAAACACCCTCTCCTGCAGGGAACTCACCCTTCATGTTGCGCACATGTCGGTAGGAGCTCCCAGCACACAGCTTAAATGTTGCTAGGAGCATTCTTTCCTGGGGGCTGGTACTGGTAGGGCTGCTGCTGCTGCTGCTGCTGCTGCCTCCGCCTGCCTCTGCTCCTGAAGGTGGCTTCAGTCCTTCCCGAACACGTCAAGGTCTGCTTCCGGGGCCTGCAGCTGTGGCTGGGGCCTGTGTTCTGCGTCTTAAATGCTCCCAGCTGAAGGCTGTTCTTCATCACTGAGAGATAAAAAAGCCATTATTCACTGTGCAAAGGAAAGGGTCAAGGATAGAGGGATTGCCTCACACTGCTGCTTTGGCCATTTGTGGGGAGTGGAGGGGGTAGGACGGTGCACAGAAAGGAGTAGGGAGGGTGCTGCCAGACTCAGTGGATGGAGGGGAAAGAAAAAGCAGCAGCTGACGTAAAGACGGTTTAGAAGAAAGCACACGCCATCTGACAATGGTTCTCAAATAGCACATGGGCTGCTCCTTGGAACAGGTTTCTAGCCCATGTCATCAGAAACTCCAGATTTAACAGGTCTAGAATTGAGGCTTTGAAAGCTGCGTGTATGTGTGTGTAAAAATTCCCAGGTGACTGCCATGCAGGTGTTCTGTGAACTGCACGCCAGGCTTTGGGCAATGCTGCCTAGGAGATGCCCAGGGTGTCTGCTAAAAGCTTAGTGGGTCAGAGCTGGTAGAGGCCATCCTGCCCTGTATGAGTAGCCCAAAGTCCAGAGAGTGGAAATGACCCGTTCAAGCTCAAACATCTACTCAGTGGGAGGGCTGGGAAAACCACACAAACACTCTGACCTTCAGCCCACGCACTGTTCCTCTGGCAGCCCCCAGGCACTTTCTGTGTTCAGTTGAATTACTCACTCGGCCATTTATATGAACACCTTTACTAAAACCCTGCTCAGAGTTCGTTCTCCCTGCTTAGGGGTTTGTGCTGGTGGGAGAATGATGCCTCAGGGCCCAGTCCTGTAAGGCTCCAAAGCAGAGGGGAGAACCGCCCAGAGACACAAGGGCAGGGACCCGAGTCCAGCTGCACCCTTCACCCTTCCTCAGACTTCTTCTGAGTGCCCAGGTAGGGCAGGCTGTGCCGCAGGGCTGGGCGTGGTCCGGGAGTGCTCACCCTGTCTTTGCACTTTGGGGGCCTGTGCTCTACGCAGAGACTCATAAGGCAGCTGAGTCTTCCCTGCTGTCCCCACACCCCATCCCAGAGGCCCAGTGAGGGAGATCCCCTCCCAGCCTGCATGCTGGTCTCTGGTGAAATCTTTTCCCTTTAAGGTTGACCTTGCAGTTGTTTTTAAGCCAGACTCATCTGATAAGAATTTTGGGAGGTCAGAGAATCACGCTGATTTGGCCCTGGCTCAGAGCCTGCCCCCTGTGCGAGACTTCTGTGCCCTGTCACCATGGCCTGGAGGCAGAGGGGAGGCCTAAAAATCGAGGCGCAGCAGCAGGTCCCCCGTCTCCCTCCTTATAGAAAGGATGAGAAAGACAGGACCTGCTCAGAGCCAGGCCTGTTCCCTGGAGCCCACACACAACAGGGTGAGCCCCACACCCTTCATTTCAATCCCTGGTGAAGTAGTGAAAAGGGCCCAGCAACTCAGAGAGGCCCTGTCTGTCCTCTCGTCTCTCACCAGGGGCTGGCCCCTCCTCCACGCAACCTTCTGGAATGGCTTATCCCTTTGACTTATACCCTTGTTGCCAGTACCTCGAGAAGGGCATATCTCCAGTCCTGATTTGTGTAATGGTTTGTGTGTGTTTGCTTGTCTCTTCTGTGGGATTGTTTGTCCCTGAGGCTCCTTGACCACATCCATCCCCACCCCCCAGCACTCAGCTTCAGGCAGGGTACAGAGCAGGCTCTTGCTCCTTCCCGTGAAGCAGCTGGGGCAGGTACGGCGGGGCAAATTTGTCTTTTGAATAGGAAACCCGCCTCTTGGCTTTGTCTCCAGCCCTCAAAGAGCCCCGGATAGAAGATAGGCTGTAAGGGAGAGGACTTGGTCTCTGTTGTTCATTGTGCCATAGGGGGTGAGGATGGGGGTTTTGCTGTTTATAGACTTGGAAAGAGAAGAAGGCACAGACAGTGCGCTGGGACAGCTGCTCCTCCCTTCTTGGTACACGTGCATCCTCATGCACATGTGTGTTCCAGTGGAGGTGGTGAGGAGTGGGGAGGGGGTTATTACGGGATAGGCCCTGCAGATAATAATGTTCAAGGCCCCCGCTGTTGCCATCCTGGGGAGAATGATGGCCACTGTGAGAGGGGAGGAGGCTGTGCAGGGAGCCTGGAGGACTGAGCCGCTGCTGATGTCAGAGGCTGCCATTGACTCAGAGGAGGAGATGCTGGTGACCTCCCACAGGGCCAAGGTTTCCTTCTCTTCCTCATCTTTTCCAGGCTGAATGACTAGTTAACTCTTACTGTCCCTCTGAGTAAGGGCGGAGAGAGGTCGGCGAATTTCATCTGGTTCTGCATGTCACCTGTATCTGATTCAACATTGTATCTGGCTTTGCTTTTTTTTTTTTTTTATTGATTGTAAAGAGTGTGGAGGGGGAAGAGAGAGAGAGAAAAAGAAACATTGATTTGTTGTTCCACTTATTGATACATTCACTGGTTGATTATTGTATGCGCCATGATCGGGTGTTGAACCTACAACCTTGGCACATCAGGATGACACTCTAACAACTGAGCTACCAGGCCAGTGCCTACCTTTGCTTTTGGTGATGGCAGAGCACCCCAGGGAGATCAGATGAACACAACTGCTCAGGGAGGAAGATAACAGAGCTCTGGCTCAGGCTGTGCAGAGTGCTGGAGAGGAAGGCTCTGGGGCCTGGGGATGGAGTCAGGTGGGCAAAGGAGAGGACTCCACTCATTCATTCAACCATCTTCACCGGGGGGGGCACTGTGTGGGTCTATGGTTATGAGAAAAATGAACCACAGGACCCATACGGAAAGTTGTAGAACAGCCGAGGAGGGGGTTGGGAAGTACAAGGGGATGGAACCTAATCACACAGGGAGAGGGAGGAGTGTTACGGAAGGCTTCTGGGAGGAGGTGACGTTAGGGCTGAGTGTGGGGAGTACAATAAGGAGTCAGCCGGGTTTGAGGTGGAGGATGGGGTGTGGGTATTCAGTTAAAACAAACGGCCAACAGCATGGAGAAGGGGTCTGAGGGTGGAGAGCTGGCTGTCCTGGGGCACTCTGGTTGTTCAGCCAAATGGAATATTTACAGGGTGTGGTGGAAGATTCCTCTGTAGTCTCCTAGGAGGCAGAGGCTGGGGGTTGAGGACAGGGACCTTGAGCTTGTGTGGGCCCTGGCTCAGAGGAGGTGAGCACCGGGCAACACCACCTGTCTTTGGGTTTATTGGAATGGTAGTGGGGGGTCCCATGAACCGGAGTGGACAAAGCATAGGTTTGGGTCCTGGTTCCCCTACTTTATGATCCCAGGCTCACTTCTTCAGTCTGACCTTTCTTATCTGTGAAATAGGGATAGGTTTTCTTTCTCTTTTTGTAATCCTTGTAGGGTGGTTGTATGGCTTAAGGGGGTAACAACACATCAAGAGCGCCTAAGACGAAGTCCAGACTTCTCAGCCAGGGCACAGGTGATTTTCAGGGTGTGAGGTGACAGATGGGCAATGGACATATACTTTTACTTCCTAACTGCAATAGCACATAACGATTTACTAAAAACTGAGGCAATTTTTCAAACGTTTTTAACAGCCACCCACAGTAACAAATATATTTTTATACATGCATACAATATTCATATACACACATGTAACATGTTTCACAATCTATTTTTATTATGTCATGTACTCTATTTTCTAATCATTCCAATTTTTAAAAATGCTGGTTATAGCCCTGGTTGGTGTGACTCAGTGGATTGAGTACTGGCCTGTGGACCGAAAGCTCACCAGTTTGATCCCCAGTCAGTCAGGGCACATGCCTGGGCTGCGGGCCAGGTCCTCAGTTGGGGGTGTGAGAGAGGCAACTGACCAATGGTTCTCTTACACATCCATCCATGCTTCTCTTCCTCTCTTTCTCCCTCCTTTCCCCCTGCTTTATAAATAAATAAATAAAATCTTTAAAATGTCTGTGAACTAATTAATCATAGTCTGTCTGATAAAACAGTGATTGATGTGTATCGAGATCTAAATTGTTCTGAATATAAGAAAAATTTTTAAATTAAAAAAAATTTAAAAATGGGACTGCCTTTGACCCAGTGATATCGTTACTGGGATTATACCCTAAGCATCCCAAAACACCAATTCAAAAGAACTAATGCACCCCAATGTTCATAGCAGTGCTATTTACAATAGCCAAGTGCTGGAAATAGCCTAAGTGCCCAGCAGTAAATGAATGAATCCAAAAACTGTGGTACATTTACACAATGGAATGTACACAGCAGAAAGAAAGAACTTCTACCCTTTGTAACAGCATCAGTGGAACTGGAGAGCATTATGCTAAGTGAAACAAGCCAGTCAGTGAAAGACAAATACCATATGATCTCACTTATAAGAGGAATAAACTAATAAGAAAAATAGAACCACAGACATGGAAACATGGAGCAGACTGACAGAGGCCAAAGGGGTGGGGGAAGAAGGATTATGGTGGAAAGAAGAGGAAGGGACTAGTCAAAGAACATGTGTGAATGACTCATGGACATGGGCAACGGTGTGGGGATGATTGACTGTGGGAGTGGGGGGTGGCTGGATGGAGGGAGGCAAAGAGGGAAAATTGGGACAACTGTAACAGAATAACAATAAATAAGTAAATAACAGTACAAACGACAAAAAAGAGTCAACATTAAAAAATGTTCATTATAACCCACTAAATTCATATTAGGACCTAGTAGGTTGCCACTCGGGTTTAAAGTAAGTTGTGTTCAGCCTCTTTTGCAAAAACTTCACCTCTCCCGGACTTACTGTGGTCCTAATGGATTGAGCATCATTGTTAGGAGTCCTTGCATTGGAACAGCACATGTGCGTATCAGCTGTATCACTGATTACATTCCTGCGCAGCTCACAAAGAACTCCCAGGCGACCGCTCAGACTAGAGTCTCTCCTGCTATTCTTTCCTTGATTATGAGCAGGGTTGTCAG